TTGCGGATCATAGATATCCCTCATTTTACCCTCTTGCATTCCGAGATTGCTCTTCGGATTCTTGCTTTCTCTTCGCGTCCCTATACTAAGAATCCAAGATTTTTTTGTAGATCTGTGTAAACCCCTCATGACCCTCTTTTTTCCCTAGAATGCTGGTTGGATTCCTGTTTTTTCTTATGTGCCTAACCTCTGTAAGAATGCCAGATGGTTTTTAGATCCAAGATAAACCCTCATATATGCCTCTCTTTGAGAACTCTCTACAGATGCTTGATCTCCCGTTATTGATGAACACCCTTTTCCCAGGTCTCTCTCCAGAAATCCCCCTACCAATCTTGAAATATCCTTTGCATGTTCAAAGAACTCTCTTTGGGTGGTTGATCTTCTGTGGATCCTAGTTCTGAATGAATTTAAGGTTCCACATCTGATTTATGACCAAAACATTCTACGGAACGTATATGCATGTCTATTCATCTGTAGAACTTACATTCATTGGCCTCATTCTAGGTTCCTCTTTATGACATATCCTCTGATAAATCTGCTTCCCAGTGAGTTTACTGGCAGTATCGACTGCTTAGTGCAGATCCTATGCTCCCTGGACAGATTGCAGCACCGATAGATCCAGAAAAACTTTGCCCAGCAGCAGAGAGGGGTAATGACCCACCATTTGATTTAATTGGCCAAATCACAATATTAATGCTGGTGATTGTACTGTTCCAGATACTTGGATTTATCGACATTACCAAGAAGCCTGAGTGATCTGGCAGGGATGCCCACGGCACACTGTATGGCACCAAGCTGTAACGAGAAGCCGATTTTCACCACGGCCTGGGTACATCTACTCAAGCTTGACTGGGCCCAGCCCTGGCAACGGACGCAGGAAAGCATTGGCTTTGTGGGTTTGTGTTGCTCCAAGGAGTGCTTGGACTTTCAAGAAGATCCCAGTGCCAACATTTTGAGTGGGCCTGTCTTCAGTATTTGACATCAAGTCATTATTGACATCAACACAGTGCAACAGACCTGTATAAAAGCTGTGTTGGATTGGGCTGCCATCAACACCAGTGCATAAACTTGTAAAAGTTTCTGGGACGATGAGAGCTAGTCCCATATAGGGTATGCACAGCCATTTTCCCACAGTCTTAAATGAGAGATATGACCTCAGTGAGGTCATGTGTGCATCTCTCTCTATAGGACCGATGACATCATACTCATATGTTCTATTGAACAATGCCACTGTATTGTATCCTTATGCAGCTGGATTCAGAAGATTCTGAGGCAGTTTGGACATGTTTAATTTGAAACAAAACCTTTGTAACTTGGAAAATGTACAATTTACAACAGTGGTTAAGGTTTTTGGGCCATGTACATTTTTGTTCAATAATATATTATAAAGTTCAATTATACAAGAGCATTTTCACACAAATACAATATCAAGAAATTGAAGTTGTAAAAATGGTGGATGTTTTGTACAATTATGTAAATTTAGAATAATATTCAGTCAGAAACCACGCAGGACGTTTTGCAGTCCGGTGGTGGAAAAGAAACAGTAATGTAATGTGATCACCAGGTTTGAAATATTGTCCCTCTGTAAAAGTTTTTGTGACATTCTCCTCTTACTTTGCAATATATTATTATCAACAAACGTCTTGCTTGATAGCCTTTCCATGTTTGGGAATTGTGCAAAATATTAAGACTCTGCACATGCCAAAATAAATCTTAGTTAACTGAAACGATAATATTTGCTATGATACATTTACTATAAAAGCATCATTACAAGAAGAATGAATGTCATTGTCGTCTCTCTCATTACTCTTGTGTAAGTGACAAAGTACTTAATTGGCCCATCATTGGGCAGCACAATTATTGTGCCCCTGTGATATTTTTTAATATCTCCTGGACGATTCGGCCGAGCGGCATGAAATTGGGTGAATTTTACTAATTCTTTACCGGGTCAGTTTAGCGAACTAATTTCATGGGATGCCCATCATGGCAGCCAGTTTTAGAAACGTTTCTGTCAAATTCAAAGAAAACCTTGCTGAAGCCCCTGAAGATTAAGAACGAGAGTTGTTGGCTTAACTTTACAGGATGCGGATGAGAACGGGAGTGACGACTTTAATGGCTTTCTGATTGCCTTCCAGTCTTGATTATGTACGCAGTCTCAGTCAAAAATCAACCGTTCGCCATATTACCACCCCAAGAACATAATTTTTTAAACAATATATTTTTTAAACAAAATATCTCATTAACTGATATGTACACTTTTCCTCAGCAAACTATTTTTTTTGAAAAAAAATATATTTTACATCAAATTTATGTTGAGACAAAAGTTGCGTATACTTTTAGACGACTTTCATTTAATTATTTTGAAAAATGGGAGTAGTTGAGACTGGTTCCCTTCCCACTTTGAAACGAAGGATCGGGAACCAGTGCATGGTGTCACCTGACTGCATAATAACTCCCTTTTTTGTACATCTCGAGATTATCTAGATTTTTGTTGGTGGATATCATCAGGGGTTCATTTCCAAACAGTGCTTGTGACAGATTGACTGAGCTGTATCGTGGTCACCTGACAATAAAAGTCGTGATCTAATCGGTCCACGCGCAGTGGTTGATTGACATGCAGGAGAGGTCACTATAAATAAGAAGCCGGACGTCATCATCTAGTGTGGAAGAGAATCCATTTCATTGGTGGTGGTTGGCGGTCGGTTAATCAGCTGTAGTGATGAATGCATCTGTGTAAGTAAAGTGACAAGGACAGATCCGCAAGTAGTCAGTTATCAAAATTCCGAAAAAAATGACCCGAACTATATAATTATGTCTGAAGGGAATGTATTCGCGTACAAATAACACCTCCATGCCCTTGATGATGTGCGCCAACCAAACTTGCCTTTCAAAATAACTTCAAGCGAAAACAACGTTAACTTCACGTGCAGATTGAGTTGTGTGCTTTTAGTGGCTAACCGACCCCATTGCCATTATGTCTGACCAATATTAAGTATTCACATAATTAGGATACAACGTGACACAACGTCATACAATATTGTAAATATATCCTTACAGCCATGCAAGCCTGTGGTTTCTGTATGTGTTTACTTAAACATCTACTGCCACCCTTTTCTTAAAAAATTCCCAGATCCCCCACTGATTCATGCAGAGTTGGACTAAGGTACCAACTCCCAATTATAGTTTCACGGTTTAAAAGCCAATGCCCGTTTTACAGATAAAATAAAGTTGGCAACATATTCATTTGAAAAGGTACGAACATAACTGCACGAATTGTTCAAGCACTTGTATTAGCATCAGCAGTCACGTGATATACCCCCGCCCGCCAAAAAAAACCCCACACATTAGCGTCCTGGTATATATAGTACCTTGTTGAGTATTTGCAGACTGAGTACCAGTGAATCTCGAAGTCTTGACACCTGGTCCATATGACCCGATTGACTGGTTACCAGTATCCTGTTCCACCTGTACACATAGAAAATCAAATCATTCACATCATGAATCGAAATTTCTTTGAAAGAACTACCATATATTTTTAAACATAAATTGTAGGCGTTGTATGTGTTATAAGATGAACAAGTTTGTGTTGATTGTGCTGATCGTGTTGATGGGTGATTATGTTAACTGTGCTGATTGAATGTTGTTGAAGATTTGAGGGGATTTATTGTTTCTATTTTAATCGCCTATACAATCGTGCTTAGAACATTTTATAACGCTTTATTTTCAGGCTCTGAACTGCTTTCGAAATATCGGTGAAGATGGAAGATAAATGAAAGACTATGACATCCTTGATAATGTCTACCGCTATGCGAACGAAACGACTTACTCCAATGCTTCTGCTACTTCGGGGAATTTCTGCATCTGAGCCTGTACTCTAGCAATGCGACAGGCCAATACGCACGAAGATACACATAAACAGCATATCCTGTGATGAAATTAAATGTATGAAATATCATTTTCTTTTCAGTTGATGTTTCTTAATAAAGCAAGCACATTTGTCAGAATCATATCAGCAATAACTTCTTTTTTTTAAAAGAGCCCAACCAAAGTTTACATCGTAGGAAAGACAAGATTAATTCTGATGATGAAATCTTATTGTGTATTCATTTAGTTACCGAGAAAATACCGGCTGAATTTTTAAAATGATACTTACACCAATATAGCCAGGGGCAACACGAGCTGCATAGCCCGGACCGATTCGGCTAAGCGTTTTACTTGTACAATAAACGTCTGTAATCTTGACCGCCCTTGAAAAAGAAAAAGAAAAATAAATCTCGGGAATTCGCCTAAATAGAAAATAATCAACCCGTTTTAAAATAGGAGAGTTTTGCCTTAGGTACCAATAATTTTTAAGGCTGTTTTAATGAGTAACGTAAGTCACGGCTTTTATATTATAGAATTACCCATTTCAGTCAAAAACTGACAGGAAACGCGTCGGAAGGATTTATTGTATTCTATTTTTTTCAGCTGCAAAAGCGTTGGCGGCGGCAGTCTTACCTACTCTGACTCTGGTTGTATTCTGCATGTCTTGGTCTTTGTCTTCTTTGACGTGATGTGCTCGTCCAGACATCATCTTACGGGATTCAGATCTGAATGGCTGCGATCTATCTGAATCATCTTCCTCATCCTGTTGTGAAATCATTATTTTAAACCATCATTAACATGTTATATCACCGTGAAAACAATAATAACAATGCTGGGCAATATTACTCTACTCGACTTTTGGTAAGAAATTACCTCAAATCATCATTAATTTGAATGAAATATTACAAACTTCAAGGATTAATTTGCTGAAAGTGCATGTGAGCAGATGATATTTTTTTTTTACTTAGCTATTTATTATTTTATTCTTTGAATTATCTGTATTTCAATAAGTAATTATTTAATTGAACTGAGTGTGGGAATTCGCCTTGAGGGCATTTATGCGAATGATTCTATTTCTATTTTAAGTCATGCTTACGTATTCATCTACGAATGTACAATGTTGAAGTAGCATGTTGCAATGAATACTGTTTTTTATTGGATTTGAAGGGCTATCCTACTGTCCCCCGACTGACTGCGTCTCTCACTCACTGATTGACTGAGTCAATGAGTACTATGTCTTAAACGTCCTAACTTACAAACACTGCTCTCTCTCTCTCCCTATATATAGGGCCTATTAACATTTTTAACTCTTATAGATAAAACCATAAACCCGAAGCCTAATTGATCCTGAGACTTTCAAACTAAAACTGTGAAGCTGAGACTGTCAAACCAAGACAGATGGTGAACTATTATCTGTCCAGCTGAATAATAATAACAATAGTAAGGGTCATTCAGAATTTTCAATGTTTTAAAATTTTGACTTTTTTTCCAAATTATTTTGACCCACCCACCCACCCCTAATTTCGCTTAATAAAAAAATGATTTGTTACGCAGTATTAAAAAACAAAACATGTACATGTACATGCTCTTGCATGTACATCATTACATCCCACTGGCAGGCCTGTGCAGTACATACAGGTGACGAAGTTGGAAAAGAAACATGCATCGCAAAATCGGAACACTTGCGCGTAGTTCAGGCAAGTCATAAGATCTGGTTTTTTTTTGCTTTTTTTTCCATGAAAAAGTGAATTTCGATTTTCAATTATTTAGCTTGACCCACCCGCCCACAATTTGGAAAAATAGTCGAAATTTTAAAACATTGAAAATCTGAATGGCCCCTAACAAATGGTATTTGTAAAGCGTATTGGCCAAAGGATACAAAGGGCTCGTTACCCCTGTTCATCAAGTCACGAGACCATTTTTTTCTGCAGCAGCTCGAGATCAGCGCAATTTGGTCTCCACCTTCACAAGTACCCATTAATACTCCTAGATGGAAGGTGGCAATTGTAGTAAAGTGCCCAGCCTAAGAACACAAGCGCGCATTGTTTCCCGTCAGAGTTCGAACCCACGAACCCACAGTCACCTTTGTTATTTACCTCAAAGACTTGATCGTCGGTGAGTGATGTTTCGCGACCGTCCTGGCTGTAGGATCCATCTTGACTCGCTATTGATTTTTCCTGTACCGTACGGGAAACAACATCCATACAAAGTGAGCAATCTCGGCACAATTGGTGCCAAGCCATTGTCCGTCTTTGCAAAACGTTTGTTTCTCTTTAGGGAAAAGAAGAACGTAGGCTATACTTTCTTTTCATGAGGATAGCTTTGAAATTGACCCAGAAATCTGGAAATGCTGGTGCCTTAGAAAATTTCGTTTACACTTTTTTATGAATCCATACGTCGACTAGGCGTAAAATAAATTCAAGTTGTCAAACGATTTTTGGGTGTGAAATGGCATTTAAAAACCCGCTGTTGTGCTACGTAAATGAATTGTAAAGTAATTAAATGGGATACTAAAATAGGCCTTTAAGATTTCAGGCAGCCAAATAAAAAACAAGAAAACCAAATAAAAAAAGGAAAAAAGGAAGAGGTACAAAACATGGACTTACATATTGAATGTCACCTGAAACAAACAAAAATTGACCACCCCTTCAAATTTTGGCTTTGCCCCACTGTACTGCAAAATGCCAAATTTCGATTTTATAAATTGTGCTTATTTCGTGATGACAGGACACATGAAAATAGTTTGTTTTAAATATTTTTTAAAATAAATACTTAATATGTTATTATGTAATAAATGCCTCATAAACTCCATTCTCGTGATGTCAGATTTAAAATGATAAAAAAACCTTATACCATTGGATGCAATCAGAATATTTTAATTGACTTTACCTCATCATCGTTAGTGCTTTTTCCATGCCAAACTGCCATCAATTTCTTGTACGTAGCTCGGCGGGATAACAGAGAACCGAACACATGCTGAAAATATAGTAGATGCATATTTAGGGTTTTTCCAGTTCGGCTAAGTTTTTTTCCATTCCAAGTTTTTATTCAAGTTTCAAAAACATACAAGTAAACAGTGTTTACAGTCCACTTATGTTTTTATCAGCATTTCCGATTTTACAAAATTTTTTTTATGATACCACATACAGCCAGACGCGGTGATACAAATTCCCTTACCTATTCCCCACATCGTTTTTGCACTTGAAAGTTTCATGTTTTGGTGGATAGAATTTGTTCGGGAAATATTACATAAACTCTCAGAAACTCGGATCAGGTCTTCAAAATGGTTTCTGTTACAGTAGTTTCCTGGCTAAAAGAAACAGAAATTTAAATTCAAAACTGAACTCTATGTAATTTCAGACGAGCACCGTTGAACATGGTTTCGCAGTAACCTCTGAATAATAATTGTCTGGCCTATAAACAAATTCGAGTTCTGCTCAGAAATATCGAGTAGGCCTAAATTAAGGGATACTATACTGCTAATAGTATATAAATGCAGACTTTACCTTGTCCGTATCTGTATGGATGCTTACTGCGCTGGGAACAAGTAAAGTGTACTTTGTCTTGAATATGTTGCGAATGGCATCCACGGGAATGACAACCTATATAAACCAATCAAACATGAAAAAAAATCCTTGTGTTTATGTTTTGAGTGAGCGTTCCTGGGTTACACAGACAGTATGCCGAATGGTGACCCTTTTTTTGTAATGCACAGTTATAGCTTCATGCGTGATTGACTCCCACCCTGGGTGGCATAATGGAATAATGTACCTACAGGATAGGCTAAATTATGAAAAGCCAATCCAAATACAATGGGTTATGATGCGAAAGTTATGTACTGGAACTCCGTCAATGTAGTTGACCGTTTTTATTTGATTGCTTGGCCAGCTCATGCCATGATACTGAATGAGAGCAAGAAAGATTTGTTCAAATGCATCTCACCTTTGTTTCAAAGCCTAGGATGTTTGCGTTGAAACAAACCCAGTTCGCAGATATGAACATTCTGCCTTGGAGGAGTACGTCACGCACTAAAGCACAAGGGTAGGCTGAAAGAACAAATTCAGACAATATTTCTTCTGGAACATCTTGTAGTGAAATCGATTTTAGATACGGCATTTCTGGTCTGTAAACTGTTTTGAACGCATAGTACAGTAAAAACGTTAGCATCGATTTAGTTGCTGGGTACTGCCATTTATAATTAGGCCTATTATAGGAGTACATTTTGCTTTCGATGAACCTTTCTAGCAACTAAGTTGAGAGAACTATTTGAGGGAGCAGCTGAGAGAGTTATGACGAATTATGACGAAATCAAGCAGAAGAACTATTTTCTTTGGAGGACATTTCGATTTTCAGCTAAGTCGGACATAAAGTCGAAGGATTAAAAAAAAAACACAAAAGAGAAACTGCTCACCAAAAAACACAAAGAAGCGAACAAGTAAACTCACATTTTATCAATTTTTCATCTTGTGGGATGTTCTCAAACAATTTGTGGAACTGTTTGTCGCGATTAGACTGTAAAAATTAAAAAAAAAATAGAAATATCAAAAAGGGGAAAATAATAACTACTGATCATTGATCAGTACCCTCATTGATTTATGAATAACCCTTGGTGAACATGTTCGAAATTTGAGAGAACCCATCAGTACTACTACTGGTTGAGGTATTTTTTTTAACAGGTTTGATCCAAAGCCGTGAATTTGAATGTTTTCCCTTATGGTTTTCAAGCTCATTTGGCACCGGGTCAATATCTGCCAGAGTGTTATGCTGCTTATATTCGGTTACATCATTTAGAAGGGTTTAGCCCCGGCTATTTTTGTCGGGATTGTCGCGACTGTACAGACTAAACATTTCAATTTCTGTATCCGCTTTTTTTTTTTTTTAATCTATACAAAAGTGACAAAGTAATGACCAGCTCACCCATGCAGGACAGAATATAGATTTAAAACTGCATAAAACCAGGGAATTTATGAATATTTATAAGGGATGGGGTAACCCTTGATATTAGACGATCAATATGCTTTACACTCAGGACAAGCCAATTTCCTTCATGAGTACAGACATTGAACTTTCATTGCCACTGAATTGAATAACTAAACCTTTTCTCGTTGCGGGCGCTTTACATGCAAGGGGTCTATCGATCGTCTAATATTCAGGATACAACTCATAAATATTCTCAATTGTCAGTTATTCATCTATACAAAGGTTCTTTATTGGCAATGTTTGTAAATTTTATACATGGAAATTTTCAGTCAAAAGAGAAGTGTGTTAGTTACCGGAAGGGTGTGCTTACCTCAAACTTCGAAAATGCACCAACGATGGCCTTGGGCAGTGATTTGGACCTGTGGTGGTGCAAAGAAATTTAGGTGAAGCGGTTCAGTACCAGGATATTTTGTCTTTTTCAGTTGATGACTGTGGTGTAGTGAGTCCACCACAAGTCCTTCCCGTGAGTAAATGACAAATTCTTCCACAAGTCCAGTATATAAGTAACAGGGGGTGACGATGATAAAGGAATGGGGACGAGGGGGGCTACATGCTGAGGCACGTGTGGGACTAGTGTCTGGCTCGCGCCACCCAGACGTTATGTATCAACGATGTTGATTGAAACGTAAAGAAAAACAAATAAGTTTGATTGTGTAAAAATAACATTTTCCTCTTTAATTAACAAATGAATTATTGAGTTACAATTCATTTGAATGGCTTGTGACTTGAATTTAGACTGGAGGACTTGTGATTGACATGCGAGGACTTGTGGGGACTTGTGAGGACTCGATTACAACATTGATTAATGATCGGATTCTGAGAGATCATACTATCCACGGCTTATTAACAGTTTGTTATGAATAGTCTAGATATTCGTCCTTCCTTTGACATTGTCCAGGACACAAGTGCATGGGTCAAGATTATGAAAAACTTAAGATAATACTCTAAGGTTGATTACAGTAAATGAGCGAGACAGTCCTCATTAAAATTTTAACGACACTATAACAGGGGTAATGAGATCCTGGATCGTGGTACTCGAGTGCGAGCTATAAACAGGGAGATTCGGCAGCTAGCTGTGGGCAATTAAATTTAGGGAATTGTGGACCTTTCACTGGCCTGCAACCCTCTCCGCTCTGTCTAAGATATCTGCTGCCACCAAGAGCTGTAAGAGGGTCTAGTTTGAGTGTACCTTGTGACTGGTACCTCTAGACTGTCTTTCTTCTGGATCGGTTGTGGTGAGGATGGCGCCTCATCGGTTTCTGGAGCATCACCGACCAGCACCGCTCCATCTGCTGCTGTAACTCGTAGAGAGGGTTTCTGTCTGGTCTTCTTGTCTGTAAGGTCATCATTCTCCTCATGTCTTCAACGAAACCGTAAATTGTTTAAAGGTAATGTACACCATTTGCAAACATTCTAAAACGAAAGTGAATTATGAAATAGCCAACTTGTGATGTACAATTTCACAGACTATACGTCATACTTAGTATAGGCATGCTATACATCAGAATGCCGTATACTAAGTATGACGTATAGTCTGTGAAACTGTTAACGCCTGGAACTCTGTATATGTTCAATACTAATGAAGGTTTGGACCATCTTTGTAAAAAACAAAAACGCCCTGGCTTTTGAAACACTATTGTGTGTGCACACTCGTGTATGCCAGGTAAATATGCGGCATTTCCCCCCATGAGACATCCTTAACTCGTACTCCGGCATGCTCCCTCACTTAAGAGTTCTTTTATGTACGACAGATTCAGCGAGCTGACGGTGTACATTAATTACCTTTTTAAACACAGTTAACCCAAAATCAATCCAGCATAGGATAACTGTCACTGCGGAAAGTTTACTGTAAGCACCAGTACCCCCATACAGGCCTACTGAATTCCACTATAGTTATTGCAATTATACTTCAGTCTTCACCGGTTTAATAAATAACATCAACAATTTGGGAAAATATTCGTGGCCATCAATCTTTTTCGAGTTTTTCTAAATATATCGCATTGGCCTAGTTTAATATCAAAGGTTGAGTAAAAATAGACTCAAGAGATTACAGTCCGGCCAAAGATCCCTTCAAAATAAACATGGGATAAACTTTTTTAACTTTACGAGGGGCATAATTGGACTTTAGAATACGATAGGATTGTTGAGACTAAGTGCAAAAATAATGTAAAAGATGGATACATCAGTAAAGTATCTGGGCCCAGTGCGCGCTTGAAGCATCACAAACATAATTCAAAACAAGACGAAAATCAAACGAAAATAAGTCTTAAAAATTTACATGAAAATGTTGGTACTTTTTATTTGAAAACGCCATAGTTAATGGTGTTGGGAAGACGCTTTCCAAAAGTACAGCTTTTTAAAGCAAAACTGGACAGACAACCCGCACTCTTTAGTACGGGTCTTATGGACAAGCTGCATGGCCATTTTTGTCGTGTTCCCTAATGATGTATTTCATCAATTGTGAACCGTTGAATTGGATGGTGCCAGATTTTATTCACCATAAACTCGCTTTCATTTTTTTTTTAAATGTGGCTTAAAACATTAGAGTAGTAAGTTTAATCACAAATTTTAAATTATTCATCAGAGCAGACTGGTATTAATTTGTAACGTCATTGCTTTCATTTCCTTACACAAGTTCCAAAAATGAAGATTTAACCTCACTCTTAATCCAATATGGCCGACTTATAAATAAGGCCAATATCTGAGCATGCTAACAGGTCTATCACGTGGGCCCAGCGACGTAACTAGGTTAAGGGGAACATGGGAGTGCACAAGTTTTTCAAGAGGCTTTTCACAAAGCTTGCACAATACAGGGTGAGTAAAAAAACACCATGAAACCCTAATGACGGGACTGTTGTTTTTATATTGAAGTTCTGCATGTAGCACTTTCAAAATATAGGACATGAAAGCCCAATTCATAAGCTTTCTTTTAGAACAAGAATCATTCAAATCACTCATGTACTTTTTAAGTTACGGAATTTTAAACACAACCACCGTTTCAAAGTTCTGTCCACGGATCACAAAAAAGGTGTGCGTTCTTTCAGCAAAACGAAAACAATTCACACACATCCCTATGTGATTTGTTTTCGTTTTGCTGAAAGAACACTAACTTTTTTGTGATCCGTTGACAGAACCATAAAATTTTAAAATTGAAAAGTACATGAGTGATTTGAATGATTCTTGTACTAAAAGAAAGCTTATGAATTGGGCTTTCATATCCTTGATTTTGAAAGTGCTACATGCAGAACTTCACTAAAACAATGGTACCAACATTTGGGTTTCGATTTTTTTTTATTGGTGTACATCGATCACGCAGTGACCAAACTTGCCTCAAAAAATGAGTGCGTTCGATTACTTCCCCCGCACTTACTCGTGCAAGCGCGACAGCGTTCGATTTACCTCTCACGTGACTTATTGCGCTTACTCGAGCCTGGCCCAAGTAACTGACTCACCGAGCCGGTTACTTGGATAAGTATCCCATAAGGCCATGCAATAGATATGACCGCCAGAGCTACGGCTGTACGTCTATTGTCAGCGAGTCCCCGCGTATTTTCAATGGGCGTGGACCTAGATCTAGCTCTAAACAGTTGATTCGGATGCAGCCTGTGTCATGTCAAAGTTCAACTTCCAGCTCTTGCACGAAACTTGTGACCCGAAACCGTTCGTTTATTTAGCTCCACTCTGCGCATGTCTGTCATCACGAGAGGAGCCAGGCGCGAGTATTAAAGCTGTATGGGGGAAGTAATCGAACGCACTTAAGGCAAGTTTTCACTTGTGAGAGCCCTTCTGCCCATCCGGTACAACCTCACCCTCGGCAGTAATCTCTCAGCCTCCGTTTATCATCGTCGCCACGTTTAAAATGGAAACAATTTTTTTTTTTATCCATAACAATTATGAGAGCGAAATATAACAAAGATTTCTTACGCATTGTCAGATGAAAACGAAACTGTTCGGATTCCCTCATAAGACCGGCGGTTGTACAGACCCGGTTTGACTGGACTTTCACCTTTCACTCTGATAAAATTAATGTAAATATCACAACACAACAAGCACTTGGCGGTTAAAGATAAATCACCTGTTGCAATTTATCAGTAACCAATAAAGTCAAAGTACAATGCCACTCAGTCCCATCTCGCTATATTAAAGATGGATATAATAGTTCCTTACTGCTCCACTCACAACCAATGATCAACCTCCTCCCCACATTACGCAGAATCGGCATTATGGTGGCCACAAACGCCATAAAGCAGTGGGATTCACCCCCGGCCCCTGATTTTGTTGGACTTTTTACATTAATGATTTACCCTGCCTCAACTCGAGACGAGTTGCTTGAGATATCGAATGCTGACTTGGAGCGTGGTCTCAGGTACACTGGTGTCAGAGCTCCGCGGGAGTGTTCCCTGATTGCAAAATGTGATTAAAAAGCCACAGTAATGGTTCAGATTGAAATACGTATTTTTGTATATGTAAAAACAAGCTTTTAATATTGTATTTTACTAAACTCATTTTCCAGTTGTTACCACTATGAGGATTGATTGCAGGTAACATCGCGATTTTTACGATTATTCTCAGGAAGACGGCAACTGGCATCTTTTGCAACAACAAAAACGAAGGCAATCAATCGACCCCAATTTATAAACCTTTGAGATTAAAATGTGTTAGGTTTTGGCCCTGTAAAGTTCAGCAACAATATATTGCACGAATAAAAGCGGACACAGCCCACAAGACAGAGAACACTGCTTTGGATTATTATACATGTATACAGTATATATACTGTACTTGGAAAGAAACCCCAAACTATCATCCCTAACCAGACACCAAGCAAGCCTGTAACGGTTCAGAGTTCTGAAATTCAACACTACTTGTATAGTGAAACTTCTATACGTACTTTTTCTCTGTTGCCTCCATTTCCAATACACTGTTGTTGGAAGTGAACAGGTCCACCAGTCTACCAGTAACAGTCCCATTTACTTCTCTGCGAGTGAATAAGTGCAGAACGTCAAGGTTTCGGTCATACGAAGAGCGCGAATAATGTTTACATGTCCAATGTCCAAGCGCTTTATATGGCGAAGGTTTTCTAAAAATCGTGTAATCATTCACGAATATTAACCTGGTGTTTATAACTTGGGTCATGCGCTGATAGTTTACACAAAGGACAGTTTAACCAGCCCGATGGTTTTGCTTCCTGATCTCCTATTTGATGCAAGAAATTAATACCTGAATTCCAGTGCTTTTTTGGCATTTCTGGAATGAATCCAAACTGACTGGTACACCAGTTTAAACCATTCTAACAGCATATGAATAAAAGTAAACTTTTGGGACAATTTCTTTTTTACCCAGAATAAGCGCTATGTCGTGATGACCTGAAAATGTGCATCTTCACTACGTTGGTATTACATGAAATGGCACAAAGAAGTGTGGAAGTATTTGTAATAATGCTAATAAAAGTATAGGAATTATCCCCAACTACTGTTTGACCAAAACTTTGAAGAAAATTGGTAAAAGGGCCCCTGTTGTGGTTATCACTACTCGGTAAATGAAGGCATATAAAATATTACAGGCAAGCAAATATCTCTGCCACTTATAAGTGCCAGACTTTATGACAATTGCATTGGCTATAGATCATGTGACATAGCCTATACGTTAACAAAATTAGATGTTGTGGTCACGTGATGCCATCTTCCAGCAAACAGTTCTCTTCTGCACAGCATGTACATCTTTTGAAATATGAATGGTTTAAAAGTGTTGACATTATACTGTTTAATGTGGGCCAAATAACCAGAAAAAGATGCTTAAATATTTGGTTTGCATGCACGGCGGTTGCCTGTTGGCATGGTGTCACAGGGCACATAATGGTCTAAAGAATTCCTCCACATACGGAAGTGTGGGCTGATTCTACTAGCAAGTACTTACCCGTAGAGCATTGCCCCACATATGCAATAACTCCTAGATGTCACTAGCCATCGCTAAGATTGAATTCCCAGACCGTATTTCAAGCCCGACCACCATTACACAGCCTCTATTCTCGACCGGATCGCTCGACCGTACATGTATACAAGCGCATCCGTCAACGCGTACACGAGAATGGAGGGCGCTCTACGGCCGCTCTTTCAGGCACTCGTTAAAATCAGCCCACACTTCTACTGGGGGATATATCCCCCCCCCCCCGGATTTACGCCCCTGCTTTCAGGCATGCCCCTGGTTAGGAAGTCATCAGGCCGATCCATCGATGCTGAGCATCTGGCAGACACCAGCCGGAAGGTGACAGTGTTGTGAGATGCTGGACAGTGTGGCAGAACTGCAGTGAGGCTTAGAGTCTGACAGTTGCTGCAGTTGGACACCATCCGATGTAAGAGCCATAGGGCATGGACGAGGGGTCCAAAGTCATCATTCAAGTGGATGAGACAGACTTTGGGATGGATACCAAGATGTCAAGTAAAGATAACACCAACGTGTGGTTCTTGCAAGAAAGGAGCAATTGGGGGGTAATATGCCCATCACCTGGATCCAAAGAATGTGACCTGGAATGAGGGCCTACGGAGTTTGGTATGCAGCAAGCCATATTTGCGGTCAGGAGGAAGGCTATCACTACCAACATGTCCAAGGGAATGGCCTAACTGAGACGCTAGAAGGGACACAGTTCGTGCTGTAAAACAACCTTGTTGATGACCCACTTTATGAGGTCAAAGGAGGGTGCATTGGGGTATAAGAACATGCATTTGAAGTGGGGCACAGGGCAGCACAATACGAACAGAAGAACCGTCTAGTAAGCTGCGGTAAGTGGTCAGCTCGCCAAACAGACTACATGTATAGCTATAGCTGACAAGATGGATCAGGAACAATGAAAACTCAGAGTCAAAGTGGGTGGATCCATTGTCCTAACTGACCGCTATAAGGACACTGGTTGACCGTCAACGGTCGCAGGCTGGGAAATGGGAGGAATGCCGGTGCGTCAAGGTAGCAGTTGCTTTGGTACATTGTACTTGTTACTTGGTTGGTGATCCTCCTAAATATTCCATCTGGGGAATTTAAACTGGAGGTGTGGTGAGAGTGGTCGAGATTAAGTTTTGTAACAAAAGAACATTCTTAAAGGAGTGTGGGCTGGTCAGCGCCACCGTTGAGTCCGGGAGGTCATTCCAATTTTTAAGTGTTCTTGGGAAAAACGAAGAAGCATTTCTGTCAGTCATGGCCTGGTGAAGTTGCAACTGTGTACTATTGTGTCCTCGTTGCGATCTTCCAGTTTTTTTTCGGGGGATGTAGGCTATTTGGTATTGTCAATGTCCATAAGTCCATCAGGATAAAAAAGGTGCGGTGTTGTTTTCCTCTAATACTTCCAAGGGTGTCCAATGAAGACTTTCACGATAGCAGAGATGCTAGTGTCACGTCCATAGGTGTTTGAAACGAACCTTGCAGCTCTCTTCTGGACTTTTTTCTAATTCTTTGATCATTCTTGGAAGTATGAGGGTCCCATGCTGCCATAGCGTAGTCAAGATGGGGTCGAACAAGGGAAGATACAACCTCTCTGATGGAGGAGGAAGCATGATGAACATTTCTTTTGATGAAATTCAGGATTTTTGTAGCCCTGACAGATGCATGCTGGGCTTGCTTGTTCCACCGGAAGTCTTTTTGGAGGAATATTCCCAAATACATGTACTCGGACACTGGTCTGTTTCATCTAGCTGTACTCCCATCATGTTGTAACGGTACGGTACGAATAAACGTCACAATTTGTGGAGTGCGAGCTGATACATGGCAAGAGCATCTCCATTTGACGGGTATATTGCAGGAATAGCGTCGATCGATGCCGTGTGAGCAAAGCTGCACGATTATGTAATTGTTCCGGAGTGCAAACTGCCGAGGTGGGGCAAGTGCAACTCCACTTCACAACCGACTGGTCTTCGGGAGAGTGGAGTACGAGTTGCCGACGTGGGGCAAGCGTAACTCCTCTGTCAATAGGGGTGTGCGAGTTGCCGAGATGGGGCAAATCATGCAACTCCGCTTGACAAGTGACCGGTCGCTGTGGATGATGTGGGAGTTGGACTATGCATGTTGCCGAAGTTGGGCAAGCGTTGTTCCGCTGTCAATGGGGAGGAGGAACTGCCGAGATGGGGTAGGCACGTCTCCGCTTGACAAGGCATGGAATGGCGGGGATCAGCCCGGTATAGTAGGCCTAGATCGTCGGGTGGAAGTGCAAGTTGCCGAGGTGGGGCAAGCACACTGCCGTGACAATAGCGGGAGAGGGAATTGCCAAGGTGGGATGGGGCAGGCGCTACTCCACTTAATCTTTCTGCCAAATGCACCCAAAAAAAATGACCGCAGAATACGAAGCTTTCCAGAAGGCAGTAGACGATAAGTACCGCAAACTTAGCGTAACTAATGGCTTAAGAAAACGACAAGAACAGAGAGCAAATACTGATGATCTTGAAGAAAAAAACACACGTCTTTCCTGTGGCGCGTGCAAGGAGAAAAGAGAATGTGTCATGGCGGGCGGACCTCAATGTACTTTGGGAAATAAATAAGCGAATGACTAGCGCCTCCTAGGGGATAATTATGTAGTAACGATCGAGGCATTTTGAATTTTGATTGGACAAAGCCTGGTTTCCATATCGACGTTATACTTATGCAGACTGCGCAGGCAGTGCGCGGAACCGTCTGCGAGATAGTTTGCGTCTGTCTGGGTAGTCGGTGACATTTGCAGATGAAAAGTTTCCACATGTCTGCGTTGCAGTTTGGATCTTGTTTGCACGGTTGCTTTCGGCGTTTCTAACCTCGTTATCAAGAATCTGCGCTTTATTTATACCCATCAATTTACCACAGGAAGTATGTACATGTGCGCTGGAAAATGGAAAATTACTGCACGCGTGAAACAAATATTGTCTATTAAAATAATAGGCATAATTATTATAGCCATAATAACTTTGGTTAAATGCACAACGCCTTGTGAGTTTGTCAACGTGGCGTGTGTAGTCTTCGCTGAATTCGCGCGTCGTGGATGGCCTTATCAAAACGCTAAAGCAGGTCCGTTAGATTTATCATGAGGAAGGCAGATTGATTCGACCACGACAGGGGCTAGGCACGACTTAGCAGAGACATTGATCAGCCAATAGGCCAATACGAATTTTAAATTTGAGCAAATTTAGGGACTTTTCAAGAACACCGGTTGCTTCTCCAGCCTCACTGGCTTCCGGAATCATCTGAACTTTGGCCTAATAATATCATAGGACTCAATGTTCCTGATCCAGAATTTTGGATCCATCGAAGTCAATCAATGCAGGGGGTGGACGTAAAAATCTCGCAAAACCGAAATTGGAGACGAAGCCGTGGTTAAGAAAACACCAGTTATTTCACTTCCAAGTTAAATGTTGCAGGTAAGAACGAAATTGCCTTATTTAGCCGACCAAATATATCCGTGTCATCATCTTGTGACGGCCCTTGCATGAAAGTATCAATGAAGGGTAAAAGCAGCTCTCAACCGGTCTTTAAACTTGTATTCAGGGGGGGGGGTAATTAAAGTAATAATTGAATAATTTAATAAACAGCTTTTGTTGATACAACATGCACGCCCCTTTTCCCGACTGCTACACACGGGACTTGCACAAGGCAACGCAACCCTTTTACAACAAGAAATAAACAGATCATCCCAAACGTCTGACTGGTAGGCCTATAACATGACATTTTATGATCCTTGCCATTTTCTTGTCAAAATGTTACAATACGTACAAATCGGGATTTGGCAAAGCATAACAAAAGATGAAACAACGCGGCTTTTCTTCTTCGGCATTACACAAAGATGGGGTATCTGAACTACCTCACAGACGCCACCACACAAAATTGAATAATTCAGTAATTTCACAAACTTACAAAACCGAACTTTTAGTAGTGCTGTGCAGTTAACATAATATTTGACAGTCAAGCAATAATTAACAGGTATTACCAGAAGCAGAACAGTTGGAAATACAACGCGGTTGTGTGCTAATCAACCAGAAAGCCTCTCTTTTTCAAAAGAATTGTACCAGCTACTATTGTGCGAGAAACAGCCACACAGATTTTTTTCATTCAAACGTAAAAAAAACAAAGCTTCGTTTTCCTTTCAGCGGTCTTGGAAAGAGCAGGGTAGAATACTTTATCATTAGGAAGTAAAAGTGACAGAAATAAAAAGGAGTTAACTCGCTTAAGTGTTTTTTTTTTTAAAGACTAAAACTGAAGAATTAAATTCAGTGCAACAAAAGCATCTAACAGCTTGTTACAAGTACTGGTTATGGGAACGGACAAACAGAACACAGATTTTTACAAGCATCATCAAAAAGGTTGGTAAAATTCTTTGTAAAAATATGCTTTTTGAACTGCTTTGTAACGATTAAATCCTTGGTTTCTTCCTTCAACAGGAACAAAATTATCCGAAATATTCAGCTGTAAAAAAGTAAATGAAAACATGGGCTGCCTCTCGGTCCTAATTTACACGAGATATCTACATGATTGGGAACATTGCAAGTAACAAGATTGGATACCTTGAACATTTTTCAAAACGAGTGATTACTTATAGACAGTCTGTAAAATTTCAGTTTTTCATTTTGGAAAGAGAGTGGAGCTTCTTTTCGCTAACTGTTATCCTCCGACATTTTCCTGTTAAAACGGATTTAAAAATGAATACGGATAAAGCATTTTTGTTAAAAATTGATAAAAATATCATTCAGCGTCTTAAAAAAAAATCGAAAACCAGAAACATTCCTTAATATTAGATGCAAAAACTGAATTCAAGACAAGACCCCGCGAACTGCTAACATGAACGGTCTTGCAACGTTGAAAGTTTAATTATTTTTGCTGAAACTATTTCGATAGTAACTAAAATAAATACAATGACACAGGAGTTCTCAATAACTAAACGAAGCCAGCCTTCTCGGGCTGAAACCATAGCGGTTTAACAACCGCCACAGACAAGCTGTTAACATTCTCACTACAATTGGTATCGCACTAGCAGAAAAAGGGTAAGTTGTGACATAAACGTTTTTTTTTTTTAAACATCTGTACAGATTGCACCTTAACAACAAAACAGTTCAACATTCGTTCGGTAAATGCACCGAGGCAGGGCCAATTTCAGCACGAGAAGTGATTCGTCAATTAAAATTTCATGGAGTGCAGTGCGGTGGGAAATATTCTTAAGACAAAAACCAACTCTGTCCATTTTGTGACAACCGGAAAAAAGTATTGCTGGTAAAAGCTATCAGTTAAAGGCTCATTTCACCAGCGCAGGACATACCAACGCGAACGCTTCTATAACACTGTATAAAAGATAGCATGAATTGAGGAACACTAAAGACTTAAGACAAACGTAAGTGTATCCAACCCTGGCATTTAAGTCATAAACTGACTGTGAATCAGCGCAGTGAAAATACCACATCATTGATTTGTACAGCGATTAGAAAACTAGAATTTAAATGCAATAACCACATGATAAGCAAACTGTTACCCAATTACATTTTTCTCACTGATGAAAAGAGACGAGTTTCAAAAAAAATAATGGCCAGCCTTTTTCTTAAAGAAGTCAGCTAACCAACAGTGGCTATTAATATATATTAATTTGTGTCTGGAACACAGAAAACAATGAAGAAAATGTTCAACTGATTATTTAGCAACAGCGACCAATGGATTCAATGAACTCGCAATTCCACTAACTGAATACGGGTTTCTTTCAAAACCCTCTCAATATTAAACAGATAGCTATGCATCATCGTTATCTACGGTATATTTCGTTCCTTTCAAAAAATGTAAATCTTTTGCAATTGCAACATTAAAAAAAAAAGCAATACTGTTCAAAAAAAAGTGGGACGGTGCTATCAACATGGAACACATCGAATCAAAACCTTGCCATGAACATGCATTTGTTTTCTGTATTTTTTTTTATGATCAACTACGGAATACAGCCATTAAATGACATAAACGGGACACATTATCCAACAAATTCTCATGTTCCTAAAACATAATAATTTTTTTTTTTAAATGGTAGATTTTTAATTTGTACAACTCCGGTGGTTTTTAACCGTACACAGTTATAACTCATTTACAAGAAACAGCTATTATTACTACCATTATAATTGTCATTCTGTATACTATTTACAGTTGTAATTTTTTTTTCAGTAGATTCCACACATAAGCCTTTCAAGTAATTCCTGAAGCTATTTTACCTCCCCCCGCATATCCAAAAAAAAAAAAAAAATCCTACCAACATTATCAGCTTCATTGAAATGCTTCCTCCGTTTTTTAACAAGATAATTTCATTATCATAATTTGTTCTACCTTTTCCGACTACATTACACATTTACATCTTTGGTACACAGCATTAGCTGGGGCAAACCACTGTAACACACTATTGCATAGACAAAATTACAAAGCCTCAGTCAAGATTCTTCCAAGGCCCCCGTCTGAATAACGTGGCTACGGCTAGCAGTGACACACACGTCTATGGGGAGTGGCTACGGCTGCCTCCATACGCACATGTGCAGTCCTAAGCCACAGCCAAGTAATTCAGACGTGGCCTAAGATAGCCTCAAGCCCAGCCAAACAAAAGTCTGTCTTACACTAACCAGTCCAACTCATGGCGTGCTACAGAGTTAAAGCCCCCCCACCCACCCACCCCACCCCCGACCTGTTCTTTTCTAGCATGCTCTCTTCCAAACCAAACACTTTATACACAAATTAATTACAACCAGTTTATTGTTCAGTAAAAAATAAACAATCCAGTGAACATCGTTGTACCCTATCCTTTGCAATTCTGAACAGCCGCATAGCTAGAACACAAACTTTAAACCATCACGATAAAAATATCTATCACTGTCCAAAATTCTACTTCATTATTCCGATCTGCAATAAAAAGTCTCCCGTGTTTAATGGTTGACCACGTTATCTGTCAGAACTTGTGTCCACCACCTGTCAATCTGCAAAGGGACCCTTTCTGTGTGTCAATCAAACCCGCACATTGACCAATTAGATCGCAACTTTTAGTCAGGTGACCATGGTCAGCCTATCAAACTCAGTCAACTGGTCAATACACCAAAAGTGGGCGGGGCTTGTGACCAAACAAAGGTCAACTGCGTGCATCCCTTTTTTTCAGCACAAATAACTGCAGGTGGCATTTTTGTTCACTGCACAAGTGTACTGTAGCTACGTTTGCAACAGCTCATCGTCACACAAACTCTTTACACAGCTTTCAACAATGTTCGAAAATTTGTGACCTTTTAGACTGTCAAACTTCTTTTTCATACCCCCGAAAAAGCCAAATTTAAGGAGTTGGTCTTGGAAGCTGATTAGTCGTTCATTGTCAGGATCAGCCTCTACCCCAAGCAGTGTAGGAGATGCCGACACCTCTAGACACCATCAAGGTAGATCTTCTCAGAGTCATGCCGTCAGAAAAATCCATCCAATGAATGGGGCGGCCTCTTGCAGCGACGTTTGCCATTTCCTTCCTCCAGTAAGTACGTCAGATCAACAGCTATTGATAAAACAAATATACACGTACAATGGTAAAATTCCAGATACAAATGACAACTCAAGGCTATGTGCATGACTGGTTCATTGAAAACCAGACCAAAAACAAAGCATTACAGAATTGCAAGACACTAACAGCATTAGGAGTGAGTCAAGTCGATCAAAATAGAATTTGGTCTCAGATTAGCAAACTTTATGCATTAATTTTCTGCAGGACAATGCGATGTCTAAAAACCAAACACCCTTGATTCGTTCAGAAAAACTGCAACAGACAATCACAAGTCAATCACAAGTCATCACAAGTCAATCACAAGTCATCACAAGTCAATCACAAGTCAATCACAAGTCAATCACAAGTTAATCACAAGTCATCACAGCTTTCATGTGCATAATTCAAATTTTAGGAATACTTTAATTCATGCGACTCTGGAATGTATAGTCTGGATCTAGAAATTCCAAGCATACATCTCACTTTACTTTTACATTAGCTTGAATAAAATGCACTTGAGGTATGACTGGAATTTCTCGGGTCGGAGTACCAAACTTAAAATGACTAGATTTTGACTCATCTTGTTGATAGTGTATCTATGTACTGCCACAGTGACTTGACCAATATTGACAGGGACTGGCTTTATAATTCCAATTTTTGAAACACTAGTCTGGAACGGGGGTTACCAAGGGCTATCCTAACCAGAGACTGGCTGTACTTGATTGCAACCTACGCTGTTTGTTGGGTAGCTTGGCTAGTAGACCCAGCAGCAATCCATTGAGTCGGTCCTTCTGGACAGCTATTCTCTCAGCTTTCTGCTGCTCTATTAGCCGTCTCATTGCCAAGGATTGCTCCTTCTCTCGCTTCTTGTTGATTTTTTTGAGTTTCTTCGACTCATCGGCACTGCTCATTCCAAAAAAAATGAGAACAAAAAAAGAGAAAAGCACAAATTGAAACAGATGCCACCCGATCTGACTAAACACTGATTAAACGTTTTAAGTAGAATTCGTGGTTTTCTTATTTTTTGGTTGCAGAATACTAATATCATCAACTTTTATAATTTCAGGAATTTAAAGATGCATGCCCAGTGCCCTTTAAACAGAGACCTGTGTCGCTCTACACTTTTTTCCTCTAAAGTTCACCGAGTTTCTCAAAGGAGATTTTCATTTATATTAATTTTCAAATGAACCACAAAGGGAAACTGACTGTGAATTACAACAAGTTTTGAAAAGTTGAACAAAGAAATTGACTGGAGCGGGGTTTGAACCTGCAACCTCCGGATAACTGTTCTGATGCTCTACCAACTGAGCTATTCAGCCCTATGTTGGTGGTTCCCCAATTCGTCAATATCTTTGTTCAAAGGGCGATAGTCAGAAGCCATGCAGCCAGGGATCACGCCCAAAGTCACGATACAGACCTAGGTAATAGCAAACAGGGATCACTCAGAGAGGAAACAGCTTTTTGAAATTTATATTCATCTTAATTAATTGTCAGACGTACCTGTTGGTCTTGTTCTTTCCTGTGCTGCCTTTGTTTCTGTGCTGTTGTTTATCACTGGGTGTGCACTGTGACGCCTCCTGGGGTGCGTTGCTGTCACCTTCTTCCCCGTCTGTCTTGTCTTTGCTACATGTGGCGCTTAAAACAGACAAGGATCAAATGTAATACAGCGTAAAAGCCTAATGTGCTTGTAGTTGAGGCCGCAAAATACGTAAACGACAAGTCCAGTTGCAAGTAACAAGGGATGAACAATAACAAAGGAATGCCCTTGTCACTGTTCATATGCAGATTGTGGGTTTATTTGGTATTAAATGACTTCTGACAGACTTGTGATAGGCTTGTGATGGGTTTGTGACTGGCTTGTGATGAGTTTGAGATGGCTTACGATCGGCTTACAATCGATTATGACACTGACCATATGAACCGAGTTTGCCAGGCCCCACTTCATCAAAGGAGTAGTTCATGATAAAATTCTCTGCGGTTTTTTCCCCCCCGTCTACAAAAAAATAAAATGTCTTTCATTTGTTTCAAAGGGAACTTTTTCTACGTCACAAGTTTGCAAGAAACCAAAATTACAGATTGTTCTATTGTAAAACAAAAGATTAAGAAGTACTTACCGGCCACCATAGCCCCTCTTAAAATGCTCCGGTACAAGGTGTGGCTGAAACACAAAAGATAAGCACATCTCATTCATCTTATGAAGCATTATTTAACAATGGTATAAGCCTCACACGGCCCGCTCCACCAAATAAGCATGAGCAGCAGAACCAGGCAGCTGGGTATCTGACCGCTGATGTCAGGAACCGGTTCCAGATTATGGGATCGGTACCCACCACCAACTTAACATATTACTCAGTAACAGACAATGAAAAAGAAAGGTTTTGAATGCCATTTGTGGGGATTTTCCAAAATGAAAGCCAGGCTACATGGAAAAGCAAAACAGATTTAACGTTTATGTGCATTTTAACGCGCGACAGCTGACGCTTGCGGAAGTTGCAGGCACACCGGTTTGCCAGTACACCATGGACAAATCCCTCTTGTGATGTAATGTTGGCTCTGAAGAGTGAGGGTGGTGAAAATAGGGTCTCGATGTTTCAAACAGTATACATGTTTTCTGCTTGTCTTCTGGAGGTACAAGAAACAGGTTTTTATGTACACCCTCCAAGGACTCATCCAATAGGGGGAAAACAGAACCCGTTGTGTAGATTTTAACTACTGCCTCTGGTCTGATGCTGTGTTTAACTATTTACTGTCTGTACACTCTTCAACAACTTCATTTTTTTCCCTTGAAAACCAATTTTCAATTTGATCGTTCAGGTAAGGGTCGCTTTTGTGCCTCTAACACCCAAAAAGATCCACCGCAATTATTTTCTGTCCGCAACTAATTTGATATTTGTTATGTAACTATCTTTCAGACATAAAAATAGTCTTATTCTTTTGTTTGATGTCTCATTCGAAAGTGGACAACTTAAGAAACAATAATTTTCAGGATGAAACTACAAAAAAAAAAAAACCACAAGGAGAGCAACTATTAATTCTAATTTGGACCAACATGTAACTCAATGGGAACTCACCGAGTAGTCTCTCTTAGGGACCAGTTTCTTGTCAAACTTGTCAAAGGCGTACGTCTTGGTGCAGATGGGGTATTTATTGCGGCTGATGGGATTGAAGAGATGTGCAGTCTTGTCCAGACGGTACTCACAGATATACACGTCCTTCTCCTCCACACCTTTAGGTCTCCCTGCAGGGCAAAAGAGACATAAGTGTGGTGGAGGATATATCTAGGCCCGTAGCTATCTTATCGATCAGTTGAATAATGGCATGCATAGTTTAATGTTTAGCCCGAAAGCCATACTGATTATTGGATATTATGTTATGTTTGTCTAAAAATTCTAAAGTACGGTTGTAAACAATGCTTATTGGAAAGCCATACTGATTATTGGATATTATGTTATGTTTGTCTAAAAATTCTAAAGTACGGTTGTAAACAATACGCTCAATAATCTTGGAGAATGAAGAAAGTACAGAAATTGGGTGATAATTATTAACAATGGCTGGGTCACCATTTTTAAAAATCGGAGTAACTCTAGCAATTTTCATATCATTAGGAACTTCACCACTTAGCATGGAATGGTTAATAATAAATGTAAGAGGCCTGGCAATGGTCATTACAACTTGTTTCAATAATGAACTGTCAATGGAATCAAAGCCAGGACTAGTTTTATTAGGCTGTTCAGTGAAGTGAAAGTGAAGTGAAAGTGTTGGATGAGCAAAACTCATGGGTCAGGGAGACGTATGATGGATTTTACCCCTTCACTGACATAATTTCTTAAGCTTGACCTTGGGTGGGATTTGAATCCACAACCTCCTGCTTAACCATCACTTGACCCCCAATCTTGCCAGGGTTGGCTGGCTGATATCTCACTGGTTACTTTCTGAACCACCCCCCCCCCCCCCAGCACTGTATGTTTTATGTATTCATCAAGTATCATGCTGACAAGTATGGATCAAGTAGCATGCTGACAAATATCTAAATGTTCTTGCAACATTTTAAGGTTGGTGTAGTGGTGTTTTCCTCGCCTTCCACCGCTGTGACCCGGGTTCGAATCCCGCCTGGGCCAATATGTGGATTGGTTTTTCGGTCCCTGCCTAATTTCGTGGGTTTCCTCAGAATAGTCTTCTGGGGTTTTCCTCCCACATCTAAAATTGTAATTTCTTCACACTGTCTTCTCTTTTAAAACTGCGTCCCACGGGAGACCAGTCGATTCCATTGAATGGGCTACGCAGTTAAAATAAGAAATAAATAACATAAATAAAACAAACAAAACACATATAACAAATAGAAGATTACGCCAGTGTCAACAACAGTTCAAAAACTGTGTGACCCCTCAGATCTTATCAAAAATGTGTGGCAAGTAACCAGCGATGCGATCCACCTTGATAGGCTGGTACCAAAAAGTCCACTAGTCTAGTCCAACTATAGTCAACTAACATTGGTTCAAGCGAGGACAGTCGAAAGATGGTCAACTATAATTAACGTGTTCAATGTCGGCCATACCTTTACAGTACGTGTAGAAGTCCATGACACAGCAGACTCCCACGATGATCTCTAGTTTAATGATCTCATACAGCGGCACCCTGAAGAGCTCGTTCTTGAAGAACTTCCTGGAGGGAGTGTGGTGGGTCTCGTAGGGTCTCAGGAAATGATGGCCAAAGGCAAACTGCTCACCGCTGAGAAAAGAAACAAAAAACATAATAGGTAACCATGGTGATGTACTGGTAAGTGTGCCAAACAAACCACAGTTGACAAAGTAATGTGCTTGGTACTTGGTTGGTTTTTCTCCTAAATACTCCACAGGGGAGTTTTAACAGGAGGCCAAAAACACCAGGGCAAACCCCTTCTCTTAGCGATAAGTGTTACTGGGTTCTTTTACGTGCATTGCATTACACAACACACGGGACCTACGGCTTTACGTCCCATCTGAAGGACGAAGCAATAATGGTTAGGTGCCTTGCTCAAGGGCACAAGTGTCCAGACCTGGGCTTGAACCCACATTCTGTTGCCTCTGAAACACCAGAGCATGAGTCCGGTGCTCTTGACCGCTAGGCCATGTCACTCATGTGCATGCAATTTTATTTTAAGGATAGATGTGTAATGTCTTGTGAAAAATCAGACACTTCTGGGTAGAGCTTGAAATGCAGATATCACCTAAAAGTAAGGCCAAAAAAAAAAAGTCTCCGGTTTCTGGTATGGAGCTTGCCCAAAAAGTGGTGCGGCGACGCGGCTTTTTTTTTTTTTTTACCTGTTTTTTTTTTGCTTCAAATGTCGGCTGATGACTGCAAATGGTGCCCGACTAAACTAAGTGCAAATATTATGGGAGACCAGAGAGGCCACATAAAGCTTATTCTCGATCATAACCCTATCTAAAAACACGTTAAAATTGTGCAGCAGCAGGATTCCAGTCAAACCAGTGAGTTTGGCGGTTTTGAGACATCATCTTTTATTGAATAAAAAACTTTTTCATTTTGCCGACGCGCATGGCTACGGCGACGCGCGCGCATACCAGAAACCGGAGACTTTTTTTTTTTGGCCTAATGAAGGCTTAAATGTATTTCTCAATTAAAAAAAAATTAATGTGTGATTTTTTGTACACTTTTAGTCTAAAATATGCCGTGAAAATTTAAGACCATAGTTTTGCCTCCCATGGTTATTTTTGGGTAAATTGTAGAGGGTTTCAACAGTCCACAAATTACATAACCCGAAGCTTAAACCATCAGGGCATTTTCTGGTTTCACATCTGCGACACTGAGGGCTTTAAATGAGAAAGCTTTTTTTGCCAAGGAGGTCCTGTTTTCAGAAATTAAACCACAATTGTATCCATATTTATCAATTTCTAATAAATAAAATTTGTTTTTTACTGAGCTTCTCAGAAGGGTGTTTTTTTGACAGAACACATCACACATCTTTCTTGTTTCTTGAACACCCCTAGGATTATTTGTGTGATTACTGCATTATGTTTTTTAAATGTTCCACTTACTTTTCATTCTTCCAGAGTTTGTCTACTCTGAATATGTTGAGTTCAGCGGGGTCGACGTTTGACATCACCTCCGCCGCAGTCTTGATCCCTGATCCGTCGGCATTTTGATGTTGGTTGTCATTGGCAAGATAGACGCAGCAGCCTGTAATGGTCAATAAATCTCTCATCACAACACAGTTAAACTTAAAATGTGTATAAATGTATAACAATCGCATATGATAAAATCCTCTAACAATTTCTTTCTCAGTGACAATCTGGAGAGAGTTACCATACGTCAAAATCTATCAGGTGATAGTTTGTAACAGTTCTGTAACATTGACTCATATTGGTACAATTGACAGGCTGTGGTAGTTTTGTTAACTGAGGGTACCATGCCTTGACCAGGGGTGTGAGTGACCACTGATAAAAATAGCTGAAAACAGCTGGAAAAGGTGTAAAAAAGCTGAACTTTGGAAATCTCCTATACTTTTGTACACAGCAAGTGAGGAAAAAAAAGCTGAAACCCTAAACAAAAAAAGCTGAAATCAGCTTCAAAGCTGAGATTTCACAACCCTGCTTGGCTGATATTGATAGATATGGTGAGTCCGCACTTGTGAGTGCCTGTAAATGATGGATTTACAATGTAGTTCAGTAACAATGAAGGCACAAAATGTTAACTCATGCATTCCAGCCAAACCAAGACATTGCCCTCTAAGATGGCTGCTACACAAGCTGTACTATTCAAGGTCACCCCATCTATCAAACCCTTCAATGGTCTGGTACCTTGTCAACCTTGATTATGGCAGCTACTAAACAAAACACGTATGAATGGTCTGGTACCTTAAACTCACTTGATATTGCAATTTTTCTAACAAATGGATGAATAGTCTGGTACCTTGTCTGACGGTCAGCGTTTCATCTCTCTGTAGGCACAGGTAATAGGTCTGATCAGGCTGTGCAAACTTGGGCTGGGGCACCATGCGAATCTCCTGTGCATGTCACAGACAGTGTGTGTTATTCAGAGACAATGTGCATTATTCAGTGTGAAACATTCACAACAATTGTACACAATGAAGACGTGTTCTTGAGATCAATAAATTTGCATCAGATAGTGTATGGATCCATCTAAAATATCTCATAAACATGTGATTAACCTTAACCCCTAGGCATCTCTGCTTGAAATGTCCTGTAACATCTAAGCTCAAAACTGGTACCCCAATTACCACTTGTCTATAGTCTCCAGTACCCCCTAAACGGTTACAAAGAAAGAGAGAGAGATAGTTAGGCAGATTCCTGACTGCCATTGTTGCTGTCCGCCTGGGGTTCTTGTGAGTTTGTGCACATGTATTCAGATGAATATTGGTTGGTCATACTTTGCCTCAAGAGCACACAAATTACTACCAGACTGTTCCCTGTTGGCATTGAGATTGACAAAGCTACCGGTAGTCATACCTTTGGCACTGGTCTGGGTTGGCAGAGTTCACATAGATAATGTTCAGCTGGCTCCTTCATATCAATACAGTCACAATGCTGCCAGATCTAAACAAAGACAGAAAAACACATGAATGTACATTTTAACAACACCCACACAATATGATGTAAGAATGGGAAGGCAACAGGGAAGCGGTGGACATCAGAAGTCAGGAATACAGTCAGCAGGGAAGGGGCAGGGGTAGCCGGGGGTGAGGCTGGGACAGGGTTTTGGGCAGGGGTTGGGGTAGGGGTTTTGGGCAGGACTTTGGTAAAGAGTTGGTGCAGGGTTTGGGACAGGGGTTGGGGGCAGGTGTTGGGTAGGTGTAAGGTAAGTGTGGGGTAGGTGTGGGGCAGGTGTGGGGCAGGTGTGGGGCAGGGGATGCAGGTGTGGGGCAGGGGATGGGTTAAGGGGTTTGGGCAGGGGTTTGGACAGGGGTTGGGGTAGGGGTTTTGGGCAGGGGTTGGCATAGGGGTTTTGGGGCAGGTGTTGGGTAGGTGTGGGGCAGGGGTTGGGCGAAGGTGGGACAGGGGTTGGGACAGGGGGTGGAGTTGTTGGAACAGTGGTTGAGACAGAGTTGTGGCAGGGTCAGGGTTGTGTCAGATGAAGGGTTGTATCAGAGGGTTGGGTGGTGATACCGGTACATACCAAGCAAGTTTCACACTGTATCATGAGTCCCTCATCATTGAATAATCCACAAAGGCAACGGATGACTTCCTCTTCCTCCTCTTCTTTAGCTGCTTTGATATCTGCAATCACAAACAATCACAACATTCATACAGTCATCTGATACAGGGAACCGAGTCCAATTTACTGCCGACCATTCGGTTGTTATCAATCAATATATCTGTTGTGGTTTATCAAGAGGGGTGAATAATGCACTATTTTAAGGGAGTACTTTTTTTTTCAAAATTAGAAATATATCATTAACAGTTGGATTTCCCACCTTCTTTGAGTTCTTTTTCCTTCTGTGGTTCCCCGAGGATGTCTTCAAAGAACTTGGCATTGTCCAATTTGGCCTTGAGGTAGGCCTTACGTAGAGCGGAGGCATCCTTTCCTAACTCGGACTTCTTGCCATGGTACCTCTACAAAAAAAAAAAATATATAGTATTGTAAGAAAGATGTTCTTCATATAAATTAGAAAAACAGACTTCTAATTAAACTCTTTAGTTCAATCCTGACAACTGATCATTGATGACCACTGATTACCGGTATAAGCATTGTCAGAAAATGCTTAAATTAAATGAACTCATGTGCATACCTTTCTTTCTTGTATCTACATGTACAAACTGTGCATAACTTTTTACCACAAGTTCATTGTTACAAGTATGTTGACTATTTTTACATTGAGAAATAATATACCTATACATGTATATCCAGTTTATACAAGATCTTGAAGTATTTTAACACGTACATGTAGATGGACATTTGCCAATTCATTTGTGAGGGAAAGTGGGTCCCAATTTCACATAGGTCCTGTTTTGTTTTTAGAGTGCTCAAAACAAAGCACTGTTCACACCATCCAATTTCTTAGTGTCATACATGTGGATAAGAACATTTAATTTAGATTAAGAATGGGCTTTCCAACCCTAGCCCCAACCAGGAGTGATTTCAACCAGGAGTGAAAGTAACTTTTACTGAGAACCTGGGAAATGTTGCCAGTGTGATCAGAGTCAACATTACATGGTTGACCCAAGTACAAGCCCAGAAATGTGTACCGTTTGAAGTGATAAGAGTAAGGTTGCAGTTGCATCATTGCTCTTGGGTCAAGACATTGCTAAAAGAGGGCGTTATCAAAACGAACCGCTATCACCTACAAACCGCTATTACAACAATGCCTTGGGAATCTTGCAGCGGCCGTGTCATGCATGCGTACCTGTTTTGCCTAATGTATACAGTGCGCATTCAGCACCTTGCATATCAGCTCCGAACCCAACTCCAAAATTTCAGCCAGTAGCATGCAAGATGCTACCAGACTTTTGTGCAACTGTGTGGCAGCTCTTTTGTCGTACATGTACATGTATGTAGAGCTTGTGTGACTGCAAATGGACCATATCTGCCTGCAGACGTAGTGCATGCACACTAGTTTTCCCCAATTTTCAGGGGGAGATTTTAAAAGTTTCCCAAGACATTGTTGTTATAGCGGTATGTGGGTGAGAGTGATTCCTCGTTCGTTGTGATCACGCCCTCTTTTGGCAGGTGATCGCGTGTATAATATACAACAACAGCTTGACCTAAGACTACTGCACCATGTGACATGAAATCTCACTTGTGAGCGTGTGGTTCTAAAAAGAAACTGCAGAAACTCAACATTTTGGACAACATTTTGGACAGTTTGCTCTTCCCATCATCAGTTTGAAGTGACCCAGTTTTCTGTTAGCTAATAGCATCACCCCACGCTTATCTTACTATTAACAAACACATCGCTGACACCCTTAATTGATTGTCACACTACTGACAATGAAAAGATTTCCTGCTCAAGCGGATGTCCTCACTCAGCCGGAGAGGAAATGCGTCTCAAGTGACTTGGGGTCAAATGCAGGGCAATGTAACCAGGAGGCAACTCACTAAACACATACAGGTACAGAGTTTATCATCAGGGGGGACATCTACTACAATGAAGGAACTTGCAACCCTTAAAGGGAAATAACAACATTTGCAAAAATCGAAAAATAAAACTACCAAGTTTTTACGAAATATCTTACTAGGATGTTGGTAAATGACAGTCTAAAGCATCCTGTAAAATTATGGCACCTGGTGTAAAGTCATTTTCAAGAAAATGGTATATTTGTATACATTTCCAACGGTGGTCGGCCGACCACTGTTGGAAAAACTTAACTATTTTTTCAACTTCTGCTCCAAATTTGCCATTTTTTTTCAGTTAAAATTTTGTTTGCTATTGGTTACATGTTTATGTACGGGTGCAGGCCAGCTAGACTGGTTCCCTTACATGTACCTTACAATTTTCCGGCATCTATACATTGATCCAATTTATCTTTAGTGGAGTCAGGGAACCAGACTACTTGAACATTTTTGTTTTTCTTGGTTTTTCCAGCATTTTTGAACACAAAACTTCAAACATGTCAGTGTAACAATATTTGATCTATTATATACTAACCCCTCAAATACTTCATTGCTGAAAATTACAGCAAAGGCCAATGATGTACATTCCCTTTAAGCTTATTAAAGGCATTTAGGATTATTTGCATTTATCCACAGAGAACCAACTGAATTAGTATCAAAAAGCTTTAACACTTGGATTAAAGATTGTACTGATACTAAACCCCTCTGCCTGCTGTCATTTAGAAGAAATCAAGAAATGTAGGTGATTTCCAACAATCAGTCAATTTCTAAATTTTGGAAATAAACAGTACTATGGACAAAATCGTGTTTCGTGATCAAAAGGTTGCGCATGGTTTTTCACAGTTTTTCTCAAAATGTGTAATATCCACTGAGCTGAAACTCCAACCGGTGAGGAGTTGAACTTGTTTCTTTGAATTTTGAGTGGTGTTAGTATTTTTAATTTAATTTGTTGTATTGCAATATATCTCAGATGTGGAAGGTAGGGGGAGTGTCTGTACACAAAAGTTATTTCCGCCAAAAAACCTTCATTTTTTTTAGTCTTTTCAGTATTGGAATTTCCCCCAAGTGTCTTTAATCACTACAAAGATCCGAAACTTTCCAACAAATGTGAAACAAAAATGGGCACACTGCTGTGAAGAAGGGAAATTTGTTTGAAACAGAGGTTTGTACAAAACTAGGGTAGGCTGACTTCTTCACCTTGATATGACATTTTCTGATATCAGCTAGACATTTTTGCAGAGTTCATGACACTTTATAAAATATGTTCAATGTGGCCAAGTACCATGGCATTCATAACCACCCCAGTCAGGTCTTATCAAAACCTTTTATCGCTCCTCCTTAATTGCATTCCAAGCCGTCTCGACGCTTGCAAGGGTATGAACCCCAGGCTGAAATTTGCAGGCATTATTCCAAATGCACATGTGGGCCGAATTTGTTCTTGTTTCATTGAGAAAGTGAGAAACTTTTGCATCAGGTTTTCTTTAGGAGTGAAACTCAAAAATAAAACAGACAGTGCCGGGGTGAAAGTTGTTGCTTTCATTTGACTTAAATATTTTGAAGTTAACATTTTCACTGATTTATGTGTAACTTGATTTTATTCGTGAAGACCAAACAATGATCTAAGGCAAGGCCAGACAAGTGGCTGCCTTGTTAGATGTAAACAAACAGAGTTTTTCAAAATGTTTGTATGTTAAAGTTAGACATTATGTAGATTCCTTGCGACCCAAACCTTTGTAACATGTTTAATAAAGAACCTAAATTTTGGGATCTTTGGATGTATGTGTACCTTTAAGACGTCAGCAATGTCTCTCATGGACTGTTGCCATGTGCTCAAATACACAAAAATATGCACAGACACGCACACGCAGTCGTGTTCACGCCAGTGATCGTGGACGTCCTATTGTCCCTCTTTTGTTTGTACTTTAACTTTTTAGGAAGACTCCCAATCGTGGACGTAAGCTGGGAATAGTGGATGATATTGTTCTCTTTTGTTCTCTGGTATTTTTCGTCCACAGTTTGGATAGATGAACAAACCCACACAATCTTGTTCTGTAATTGAGGGGACCACACACCTATTGAGCAATAGTTATTATGTGGACCCAAGACGTTATGGGGACGGCAAAAAGTCCCCATAACTCGGTCCTAATTTCCCTGATGCAGTGTCGGCTAGGGCATTTGTGTTAAGTGTAAATCAAGAACATTCCATTGTTTTTCTTTTGTTTGTACTTCTTTGGAGGACCTCTCATTTGTTTTACACATTTTCCAGTTGAGGACTGTCCTCACTTGGGCACATGTCCTCAATCAGAAAAGAACTTTCCTTGTGTGTGTCCTCAATTGATCTTTTGATTGCGCTTACGTATATTTGCAACACCTCTCCTTGCTTTTGTGCATGTTTTACAAATGAGGACTGTCCTCACTTGGGTACATGTCCTCAGTAAGAAAGGACTTTTGTTATGCGCGTCCTCGATTTGCACCATGAACATGTCAAGAAATCTTGTGGCTTTCTAATCACCTCTGCATTTCTGAAGACGCGCATGAAGTGATCGTCAAATCTCTCCACGGTCTTGTAGTAGCCCGACATGATGTGTCTCTCTATGGTGCTCAAGTCAATCGGGTCAGATATACGCTGGTAGTAATCTTGGTTCCTAGTTTCAAAACAAGTGAGAGAAAAGATTTCAGATCTTGCCAATGTTGTGATGACTTGTTTTCTCCCTCCAAAACTAAAGGCAGGTAGATACAACAGGCTAAGATCATGCAAAATTAGCAAAACATTGAATGCTGGTCTCACATGTACCTTTATAAAATTTGGGGTAAGAGTTTTGTGTAAGCCACTGTCTATTATTGCTTTCATGAGTTAGAATACAAATCATTGCCTGTGCCAGTCCAACTAAAAAATCACCCTTTTCGGTCATTTGTAGAATAAAACATAAGCTTGTTTGCTGTGACGTCCAGAGTGCACAAAACTCATCGTGTTTGGGTCTACAAGTGGCTGGCAAGCTACGTGCCATTTTGATGATGACAACACAGACAGAAAGGGGTGTTGTTTCTGCTGGCAAACACTTACATGTAAACACAAAGGCACTCCAAAATCTTCATGTATTCATCATTGTTTCAGAGCAATTTACAGATTTGCTTTCCTGTTTTTATATCTGTAAACCTTTTGATACTGTCAGTTCACAATGAAAATACTGACGGGTGCCGAGATTGTGGGCAAAGGAAAATTCTATGAAACAATCGGCAGAGGGTTTGAGGGTCACTGAAGGCCCCAGAGCAATGTGGGATCTATGGTATATGTGACCTGTTCTGTCAAAATCAGACTTTTCTGGGCATAAGTTCAAAAATGAGATTTTTGCATATTGTTAAAATATGTTCTGTTTCCTTTTAATAGGTGGTTTAATTTTTGAAACCGGTCATTCCTGCGCAAAGTTATGCTATTTTGAAGTTCATTGGGTCGAAAAGAAGAGAACAGAGAAAATGGACACGAACATCACAAAACAGACATTTCTTTAACTGATATACCTTAACAAATCATCAAAAATACTATAATTAGAGATCAAATTAGGGTTTCAAAGTTTTACAGTATATTTTAGACCTGCTCAGGATTACAAATATGCAAAAATTAGAAAATGGAAAAAAATCACCCCCACAGCGTTTTTTTGGCCCTATCTCAATTTCAACCTCTGCCCAGAAGCGTCTGCTTTTGACAGAACAGGTCACATATGTTTGTATTTGCCTCAAGGCACCCTTGACAAGACCCATTTCTTTTGTGCCATAGAAAGTTTCATAGGTAAATCACCTTTAGGGTAAAACCTCAGGGTTTCTAGATTTCGAAAAGTATTCTTTGAAAATCCCGATATCAGGAAAAACCTTGAGGAATCTTACCCTTGGTTCTCATCTCACCTTTTCTTGGACGGTCTGTTCATGAACGGAATCGCCAAACTTTGGCCACTGGAATCCCTGTAGGTGCAAACCACTGTGTAGATATCCTTGAAGACCTGCGCAAGTCTAGCTGCCTTGGTGACCTCCACGTTGACCTCGGCGGCCGCAAGCCGCCGCGTCTTGACAGAGCGCGACGTCTTCAGCGCCGTGAACTGAGCCATGAAGACATCTGGAAAGAAAACAACAAAGATGGGATTTGAAAAGAGGGTTCTGGTGTCATAGGGACCAACATCTCAAAATTGGCGATTTTGACCTACGGTACATCTCTAGAACTAAACATTTGTTCATTGTCTTCTCTCAACAGGTTTCTTCAGGCTTGCGAGCGACAGTGCCATGGGTACATTTTGTACTTCCAAAGAATCCTTGGTATCATTACCGTTAATAATTAAAAATTAAATACTGAATCTGACCTTTCTTATTGGCCTCTGGATTGGCGACTTTCACAGTTCTAATATCCTGCCTGGCCTTCAAGATGGCCTCTCGGACACGTTTCACCTTCTCAATATTTCGCAGAAGAAAGACGCGCCGGTCGGCGATTAGATTCATCTCTCTGACGGACATCGGTCGAGGGAGTAACAGCCGTAGGGTCTTTAAGGCACTCAACTCTTCAGCCGTATTCTCCTGTCAATTGGTATTAGTATTCAGACAAATGAATGAAGAGACTCGCAATATTTAAGTTCAATGGGTGGAAACAAACTGTGTCATGTAGTGCAAAAGCACAAACTTTTGAGTATGCACATTTTACGTCCTCTTGAACGCATTCAGTCTGACTCGAGTCAGAACGTTTGGTGGCTCAACTTGACTCATTACAGGTCAACAACGGAACTCTACTCCCAGCGAATGACCCTTAAGTACTCAAGGCCAAGGATCATCAAAACTCAAGTGCTTATGAAGGTGGAAGGTAATTGTGGTGAATTCTAACAAGTTGCAATTTTACATGAAGTATGTTAATCTGGCTTGTGTTTGCACGGCACATGCACTATGGATAATAGTTACTGTGTTTGACCCATGTGCCATGGTGCATGGGTTTGAACCCTGGCGGGGAGCATGGTGCTTGTGTTCTTGGGCAAGGCACTTTACTTCAATTGCCTCTCTCCACCCAGGAGTATGAATGGGTACCTGTGAGGGTTAGCGACCAGATTGCATTGATCTCCAGCTGCTGCAGAAAAAACGGTCCCATGGCCTGATGAACAGGGGTAATAATTGGTGCTCTGTATCCTTTGGCAAAGGCACTTTATTAAATGCCAGTTATTATAATTACACATCGTACAATGGGCTCTGGTATTATCATGCTGAAACTTACACGTAACCCAGTTTCAGATTGTGACAGTAAATATAAGATGACGCTGAAATGTCTGTGGCACAAAACTGACAAATACCTCGACTCAACTTTGTTTAACCAATGACTCGTCTTGACTTGGCCCAAGCCACCACCCTAGAACAACTCCACTCAACTTGAGACACAAAATTCAGTGACTTGTAGCAATCCTGAAAGGGGCATGGAGGGTCAGTTTGCTCACCCTTTTCTTGAGAATGTTAAGAGACTTCCTCTTGTCCTTGGGCGGCCGGCCACACTTCTTGCCCGTCTTTTTGCCGCACGGTGGCTCTTTCTTGACGACCCCATTTGGTTTCTGTGTTTTGCCTCCGATTGTTCCTCTGCAGTTGGTGCTTCCACACATACACTCTTGCTGTAATGAAAACAATACAAACACAATGTTCATCAATAGTTAATTTCTAATTTTTAAGTCAGTGGGTGAAATTAGACAAAAAAAAGTGGTCAGACAAAATGTCCGAGCACAATCAAAAGTGTTCTGACATTGTCAAGTTTTGATCTGCCATTTAACGTTCCAAATTTGAAGGTCACATGAGGAAACAAATAAGTAAATTACTCTGTGAAACCTTGCGAGACGAACTTTCAAAAGGCCGCGTTTACTATACTTCAAACACGTGGACGGTACATACACGTGTGTACATGTACAGTATGTATGTTTACGTACGTACGTATCCATAATACACACTATGTAGTTGCAATGACAAGCGCTGGGCATTCACGCGCTCGTTTCTGTAGTAAGCCACGTTGTGAGAATTTAGTAACAATCACGCACTTAAAGCATACCGCGCAACACAACGTACTTTGATCTTGCTAAATTCTCATTACATGTATGCGCGTCAATGTCCTTATAATACTCTATACTCGTCACTTTACAGACTCGATTCAAGTCTGCAGAACACGTACGTACGAATGCCAATCTATCGCTGTGCACGCCGCGCTGTACTAGACTGTGTAATGATTGGGGTGTAAACGCGTTGCATCTATTGCGTGAATATAAGACAACACGTACATGTAGTTAGCAGCCGCTCAGCGTACGGTAAGTATTACAGACCGGATCATCGGAAATAAACAACAAAATACTTTTGAGTGCAAGCGTTTATTTCATACTTCTGAAAAAGATAACTCCACAAAGAATACATAAATCGCTCGGACATTTTGTCTGAGCACATCTGCATTTGGTCGGACAAACCATGAAAGTGGTCGGAAAATGTCCGATGTCCGACTGTAATTTCACGCACTGTAAGTCATAGTACAACATGACTTTAGCCTGCCTTGAGTGATTGCTTCATGATCATTGGAGGTTTGTTGGATGATCACACAATGATAAAGGATTAGTGCACAACAATGAACAGCTATCATACTTATGGGTGCACACACTATATTGTGAAAGTATTTAATCTGAGAAGCGTCTTGATATTTAGGGTTAGTGCCTAAAGCACTCGCCTCTCATCGCAGTGGCCTGGGTTCGATTCCCGGCTCGGGTCATACATGTATGTGAGTAGAGTTGTTCACTGATTCTCTCCTGTGCCACGAGGGTTTTTTTCCGGGTTCTCCGATATTCCTCCCTCTGCAAGAAAACTCAACACTTTCGATCTCTGCCTGTGCGCTGTGGTCAGACATGGGTCGGATGACGGCTGCCTGAGGCGCCTTTACAAGCCTTCGGCTCGACCACGTTGTAGCTGCGTCCTTTGCAATTCAGCTTCTGCTGTGAGTATGGATGATTAACTCTCAAAATTTAGTTATTTTGTTTAATTTACACCATATCCTCACCTGTGTTTCGAGATTGAAGGCATGGAAGTTGTAGTCATACGTCAATTCCTGATTAGCCTCTACATCCCGCATTGCAAAGAGCGCGATCCGATACATCCCGCTGACCGACCACTTCTGCATCTCGCAGTTGGGCTCGCAGCTGTGATTGACAAAGCGGCCCTCGTTGCCGTACCGGTACCCGTCGATGACGGTGCCCGAGTCCAGATTGAGGTAGTAGTGATGTTTTTGGTACTGGTAGTCGCTCAGGGCTCTCTTCCAGAGTTCCTTGACGCTGATGACTTCGCCGACGTACTCCAGAATGAATTCTCCGGCTTTTATGGGATACTTGGTGCAGATACCCCAACCGCGTTCCTTGGTCTACAAAGGTAGCAGGAATATCCACAAACAATCATAATTTAACGTTACTCTCCCTCTGTTATTTTCAAGATTCACCCCAATTTCTTTTCTTTTCTAACTTGCTATTTTTAAAGCAATACAAAAGTTATTCACTGTTGAATGGGACATCGCACACAAAACAATTTGCAAACACGAAGTTATGGAATACTTAATAAAAACTTCCAATAATGTGCGGCCCAAAAAAAACTTCAGTTGCTCTTTTTGTGCATAAGAGGCACAAGAGCAAACAAAACTAAAGAGCGTTTTCGAGATAAATAGAGCTGATGGCGAGAATGTCAGATCACCAATTTACGACGGCTGAACCAACGACAATGGCAGATGCCAATAACAGAAAGAAAGATGCTTTTGTTAAAATAAACCATGCACATTAAAATGTTTGCTGATATTAAATTAAAAGTGGCCCCTTTATAAATGTTCATTTTAAAACAAAACTTAAAGAAATAAAGCTAAAACATTTCCATAGCCTAAGTTTCTTTCCTAATTATATAAAGAACAGTTGATTCTACTGCCTCTGAGGTGTATCAAATAAAATGTTGTTTCCAAGTGATTTTCTCCCATTTTCATTTTGAATTGAAGCGTGTTGGAAGAATTTTTTTAATGAGAATAACCAATCCAAAGGCCAAGTACCGCTCTAGGCGATGGCTACAAACAAGATAAAGAGAAGCAAGTTAAAGAGGGAGAAGTAATCTGTTGATAATTTGTTTGACTGTGATACCTCATACGAAGGGAATGCAAAATGTTGGCAAGAGAATGTTGCCGGTTTTACGACCGCTTACCATAAATCTTTGAAGCCCCGCTGCCCAGTCATGCCTCTGTATTCTCTGATTACAGCACAGCTCCCCGCAGGGACATGTACTAGGCGAGCATTCGCTCAGGACCATTCTAGGATAAACAATAAACAAAACCATCAATCAAAAGTACATCAGTCTGGACTGACGGTGGGACTGTTGCGATACACAGACCATGAGAGGATTTGCAATATGTGAATGGGTTTGAGCAAGACAACGCAAGACAACAACAAAATTAATAAAAAAAATTCAGAAATGTAAATGGCAGTCAGTCACAAAAAGCAAATACATTTTTGGCCAAATTGTATTTTCTCCATGCATGAAGAAAGTACTTTATGACAATTATTGACATGATGCACCTGTATTTCGACACTAAAAGTAAAAAAAAATCATGTCTGATTTGGTACAAGTATAGATCTGGGACATAATGACATCACCCTTTGTTTGCATGCGGGGAAAAGAGCCACCAAACTTAGTAAGTGCACATGTAAAACAAAGCACAATGTCATTATGTTTCAGACATACACTGGTACACACTCATTTTGTTTGGGAAAAAAAATACCATTCAACCTTAAAGTAGCTCTCCCAGTACTACTTTTGAATAAAAAAATCTGCCAACATCAAGAATCATGTATGGAAGAGTTGCTTTACTTGAACACATGCGGATCTTTTAGTGCATTAAAGGTGCAGAGGCAACCAAAATAAAAGCCTGTTTCAGGATTTGGACACATACTGTTAGTTGTTTTATTGTTTGGTTAATATTTGCGGTGGGATTTAAATTCAGATTTTTCCAAATTAGGCTTGAATTCCACTGTTCGGTTTTGATTTTGGAAATTGGATATTCAAAACCAACCTTAAAAAAAAAGCATTCCAATTATTTTGTGACACATCCTAAAGACAACAACTGTATTAAAAAAAACCCAGTTTGCTCCATCGTCTCCGATTGTTACTGCATTCACTTGCTAGTGGTCTTCTTGGTATATGAATAGAGTGCCCATTCGACTTATCAGAGAGTTCCATGGATCCTTTTGTTTTTTTTCCAACAATACAGCTCTTGGAGTATTTTTGTAAAGGCCCAGTGGTCATTGAATCCTGTAAATTATACCCAGTCATTAGGAGGACGTGTCATGCGGCATCTCAGATAACAATTATTCGATTTGAATTTTTTTTTTAGGAAAACCGGATTTTGAAATATCCGATTTCTCCCACCACTAGCTACATGTAATATAAAACATACAAATTAAAAATTTGTCAGCAGAAAAAATATGTTAGAGAGCACAGGGAGAGAAATTTGCATAAACACGAGTACAATGTATACAATGTATACAATGTATACAGTGTATAACTTTAACCAACCTATTCAGGCAATCGTCACCACATCCTTTCTGCGTTGCATCTCTGGGCCTCCGACAGTTACATGTATTCTGTGTGTTACATATTGGCTTCACATCACGGTAGATGTCTAAACGATAAATGGATAAAAAAAAATCAACAAATTAATTAATCTGTATCAGATTTTAAGTTATTTTTATAAGAATATCAGTAACATGTACATGACAAAGTCAAGCTCAATACTTCCCCCATAGAATTACAGGTACAGTGATTTTAGTAACACTTTATCTTCATTAGAAAGGATTTTTTTGTGTGTGCACAGTTTGCAAATGGCACTCTCTTTACATTTTCCTGACGGCACATTAATATCCGGCTTTGCAACTTCTCATCAAATGTTAATGAACATTTTCAATAATGCTCTGAGCTTTGTTGTCATGGCGACAGCACAGACGAAGTGCGGCAGTTTCAATCAACATATTACAAAATGGCCCGCCCACACACACACACCACGCACAATTGTGAATGCGTAATGCGTGGGATCAGAAAGAGATGAGCGCAATGCAGCACGGAAATTTATAAATACAGGTATGGTTATGCTATCTCACTGCAAGAAAACAACTTTCATCAATAATACACGCCTTGAATAATGCATGTATATCGTCTCATTGTGCCACATCTAGTCATGTTGCTTAGACATTGGCGCACAAACCGGTACAAGTACAGCACAATTACATTATTACTTCTCAAGGTATTTACCCTTGTTTTACAGTAGTTTCAGGGGTGTGAGTGGCCACAGATAAAAATAGCTGAAAACAGCTGAAAAAGGTGTAAAAAAGCTGAACTTTGGAAATCTCCTATACTTTTGTAAACAGCAAGTGAGGGAAAAAAGCTGAAATCCAAAACAAAAAAGCTGAAATCGCTTTAAAGCTGAGATTTCACACCCCTGAGTTTGTATTTTACATGTACAACAATCATCATTTAAGCATTAAATAATAAATACAATTGACATTAGCACATTGCAACAACATGTACATGTATGCATACGGGTATTGTCATTTGTATATATTGTATTGGATAACGCTAAGGTGAAATCATATTTGGGGGGGGGGGGGGGGGGGAAGCAACCAGTTTTGGCAGACAGAAGTTTCTTTGAGCGTTTTGAAACTTTCATTTTCAAAACTCCTATTACAGTGTAATTGGAAGAATTCTTGGAAGAAAAATATGTTTAAAATGTAGTTAGTTTTGATTTGCAGTTAATGTTGTTTGAAAAGCTAATGCTTGTACATTGTGTAATTCAGATACATGTTGTGTGTTGTAATGTGCCTGACATTTACATGTGAAACCAATGTCACACAGGTACATGTACATGTACTAACTACACATTCAGGTTTTTTTTTACATACACGCATACATGTACCGGTACAGACCGGCACATGTACATACATGTACATACAAATGTGTGATATGTACCGGTACTGTGTAGTTAGTTTAATGTAGGCATTATTAAAATCAGCATTTCGGGTATGTATGAAGACAATCTATAATCCATAGTACATGTTTGATGTGATGTCCACCAAGCTAGCGAAAATCCCATGATTCCACAAAATACATAAATGCATATCACTTGAAATACCATCACATAAACATTAATATCTGTTCATTGTACAATACAATATGAAAGAAATACCGGTACAATGTAGCAAACGTGTGTTGGCAATTTGTGTGTGATGCCAAATGTCCCACTTTCCGTATTACTTTTCCAACCCTTTCATGCTAACACACGGTAACTTTAAAGCTCTCTTAGAAAAGGTTTTATGTTCGCAATGTGCCAGATCTAATGTTTCATTTGCAATGCCAAGACCGGCCCTGAGGAAAGACCTAGGCTAATTTCCTGGTCGGCTAATTCAGCACAGCGGCTCTCTCTCTCTCTCGCTCGCTTAATCCGAGGTGCTCGAGTCTAAAATACACGCTGTCTGCGCCGTGATATTTATAGAACGGCCCGGATTACTTTCGGACATTCAAACTGAATTGTATTACTCATTGTGACTGTAGATGACAAAGACTGTTTGGGGGGAAAACCTCAAGAAACGCCTATTGTGACTAACACGCGAGTGAATACAATATCTTCAAGTCTGGCTTGAGTTTTTCAATAACATGTAGCGCAGACACCAGGCACTTGACTTTTATTTTTCTAAAACGGACGAAATAGTGGTTAGCGCATTAATAGCAATGGTCTGTGAGTCATTCTGAGTCAGTCAGGCATACCACCCATCCCTCCTGGCCTGTTTCTCTAAAACACACGGTCACACGGACCAATGTCATGGGGGCTGCCTATAGCACAGAAATTGGCTAGGCACATCAAATGTTTGCTGAGCAAAAACAGGTTACCAGCCAAAAACGTCACGCTATGCCTATTGCTTGTGACCGGTTCCCCGCTGATTTTTTTGCTTTAAAGGGTCCATGAGATACATTTTTATGAGGAACACATTTGGTGCAACTTTCTACTCACTCTTAAATGTATAAAACTATTTGACATCCCTTTTAGGTTAATTTTTGTGGAAAAGAGCACTTCTTAAAACATTTAAAATTGTCCATGCTTTTCATGACAACTGAGGGCGCTGTTGCTGTGATGTCATTTTAGGAAGACACTGTTCAGTTTACGGGTTTTCTGTTCAAATTGTGAACCAAACATTTGCTCGTTGAAAACAGTTGTGAGAAAAGTTTGCTCGTTGGCTTACTGCCAAGCACTCACACAACAACCAATCACCAAAGACAAGAAAATTCACAACAGCAAAAGGGGACACAAAGGTGCGTTTCCAAGGATTGCATTAACAAGAATCACACTGCATGGGCCTTTAAGATCATACTTTTTGATAAGTGAAATTTTCTGCTCCACTGCTCAACGCAACTGGGCCCATTCTCTGACACCACCAACTATGAGACTGAAACAAAATTTTCCTTAAAGATTTGGGATAGGACATGATCCCAATCCTTAAAGTCGACTTGACTCTCAATAGACTTTGTACAGGTAGCTAAAGAGGTGGCGTCTGGATATTACATTCCTTCCCTCAATTTGTTTTTAATTTCAACCCCATAACGCTTGAACTCATTTTTAATGATTTCAACTGCAAAATGACAAAAAAACAACCCCTTGTGGGGGGGGGGGGAGGGTGTTTCATAAAACTTTACAATTAATTGTTCTTTACGATTGATTCCGACGTAAGGTTGAAAGATAAGATTAATTGTTTGACATTGGTTATTAATTTCAAATCCCTGACATTTTTGCTTGGAGCCTTCCCAATCCTTCCAAAATCTACCACCTCCATGAGGGGAAACCAATCGGTTGTTTGGACTCTAACTTTCAAGAAATATCTTACAAATCAATGTACAGTATAGTAATGGCCTGGCATTGAATCTTCCTCCATCCTGCAAAATCCTACAAAATCCTGCAAAATCCTTCAAATCCTCCAGGTGGATGTGGGCACATCAGGGAGGGATTTGTGCCAGTAACGCCAAAAAACTTGGACTATTTTGATAGAAGCGTAACTGCATTACCGTCTCAGATTGGACTGTCCATATTTTCATTTAGCTGTGACATTTCCATTTGATGACATGGTACCGGTACATCTTCAAATATTGGGTTTTCATAAAAATTACCCAAGTGTGTGTAAGCACAGATTTGTAGTCATAATTTTTTACTGTATGTTCACGATAGCTGGGGCCAAAGTCACAAATAACCTTGGTAAGTTATTTTATCAAAGCTGAATTCTTTTAAGACTTACTATTTTTGAGTTTCTTGTATTTGGAAGGATCTTGTCTGTTGGACAGCTTGTTGTGCGTATGCAGCCACCACAGGTCATAGGGCAACTGAAAATCATCCTGTTCCTCCCAGAATAACGAACCTATCAAAGAAGGAATACAAAAAAAATGTTGGTAAATACTTGTCCACTTTATGACAGGAAACTGCCAAATGTGACCGGCTCCACCAAAAAGGGGAATTATGTCGCAAAAAAGTGAAATTGTGTTATGGTTGGAAAGCCCACAATGTAAGTTTTCATTTCCATGGCCCCTCCCGTTCTGGAGATATGACTTATATTAGTTACTTCTTTGAAATTCAAATTATACAACTGAGAAAATGGGTTTTGAAATAGCTGGCTTTGTTGTAGAACAACAGAACGATGCACACAAAATCGTTGTTTTTTCAACTTTGTTCATCAAAATCAACATTTCTGTGAACGTAACCTGGAGCTATAGGTATTAAAGATGTCATTTGTGACATAAAATGAAAATCACATTTTGACAAAATGTTCACCCTCTCAACGTTGACCGGGCCATTACACAATAATGCACAGCGTGACTTAATATCCTTTTTTGTGGAGCTGGTCACAAATGTTCTGTTCTCAGTTAACACTGTGGACGGCCAGCCAATATAACAGCTCAAAGTGGCGTTTGCTAGAGATGATGAGCCCATATGTTTCACATGTTCTGTCGAAACCAGATGCCAGTTTTTCCCAAAATAAACCCTCATAGTAAAGGGGAAAGATCCAAATTGTAGCAATATTTTCGAAATCTGCTCCAAAGGATCTACTTTTGACAGAACACACCACATAATAAGGCAATCAAATTTGTCGAGAATCTTCTCTGCAAATATTTTAGTTGAACTTTTGAAACTATTGAAACAATGTGCAAAGATTACTTCCATGTTCCCTAAATTTACATGTACACAAGACATTTCTCCTTACCGGATAAAATCGGAAGAGGCAGCAATCCGTGTTCTGCTTCTTGTGTGGTTTCTGAGTCCCCTTCCACAATTTCTGGTTTGACGACTTCATCGTGTTTACTTTCATCTTCAGTTGGGTTGGCCAATCTGGAAAGGACACAAATTTATAGACTGAGGTAAGGTTTCAAAATTATGAATTGTTTTTAATGCCATTGAAACCTTAGACTGTTGAGTACACGTACATGTATGCATTTTGTGTCAATGGTTTTTTGATTGGTGTCAGTCTTTGTTTGACTGTGTTTAGTAATGTCAAGACCCTGAATTATCAAAGGAATATCTCACTCTAACAATAAGATATCCTTTATCCAGGAAAATTAGGTGAAGACTATAAAGTTTCTTTAAAAACAGATTCTTTATTAAGATTCTTAAATAAAACAAATTAATTACATTAAAACACAAATAACAAGCGTATATATATCAATCATAAAATATTCTGGATAAGAAGAGAGGAAAGATGAGAAACAATATTCGAAGGTGAAATTACTAAATATTTATTCTGTTTCACTGCGTTTTGGAAAGAATAATTTCCACACACCTTGGTAAACAATAACAAATGTCATCTCATCAAAATTAAAGGGTCTTAAACAAACATGCACAACTTCAGAGAAATCATCATCGCTGCTTATTACACATGTGCGACTGGGGCCACTGCAAAAGTCACGGAAATTATGCATGACAAACAACCAAGGTGAACTGTCCTGAACTTCTCTGGCGATATCTCCGCTATCAAATTTTACCGGAGGGCTGAAAAAAAGAAGGGAACTCTTGGACGGAATTCTTGAGCTGCAAAACTATCTAAAGCGACTATGACCTAGACACACTTAAGTGCCATTAGCATGGTCGGGCACTTGTGCCTATCGCACATTTGGCAGAATCAATAGGCTTTTAGCGACCTAGGACCAAAGACACGGAAGCTGGCAGGCCATTCGGATTGAAGCCTCTGCAATCTATTGATTTCTTTCTCCCGTTTGATTTTTCCCCTGCTCTTTCTGAAAAATCTTCTGGTACAACAAGACAAATGCAAGATAACCTTTAGTTTTTGGATGGCCACAGGGGGATTGTTTTTTTCTTCTTTCTTGACACTGCTGTTTTAGCGGTGAAGATGTGAAAGGTGCGAGTGTGATCTGCTTGGGTCAGATATGGATAGGCCTCTCTCAGAGAGAAATTGGATGTTTATTTTTTCACCCGAGAGCTTCCTGTCTGTGGGGCACACTTCTATGATCTATACGCCCTTCTCACAAAAGAACTGGGGTCAGGAATGCTGACTTAATTAAATTCCAAGCACTTGTCATTTGAGGACAAAATCTATGTCTGACAAACTACATTAATTGAATTTCAAGCACTTGTCATTTGAGGACAAAACCTATGTCTGACAAACTACATTAAATTAAAAGAGTGCATTTGCAATCTATTTTTGAAAATAATGCACTTTCATGCTAGAACATTTTTCTAAACAAAGAGATATGCAAATTTAATTTCTAAACAAGTGTTTTTTTTAGTTCACCCTGTGATCTGCTTTTTTACTAGGAATACAAAACATGTTCACTTTTGAAAGAGATATAAAAAAAAACCAAACAAACAAACAAACTGCCAACATTTAGTTATGGAATAACTTCATGGCATGACAGGCACAAAGCACCCCCCCCCCCGCAACTTTTCTTTTTTGTAGAGGATTGCGGATGCCCAAAATAAACTTTTTATCACAAAATTTGTAAGTTCATTTTTTTTGGGGGGGGGGGGCAGAAAAAAAATGGTTGCAGGGCAATTTTAAAGAAAATACGTTTCTGAATATCATAATACAAATGCTGAATACATGTACAAGTACCTGTAGACATGTCGAAGGCATATCGTTCGAAAAGTAAAGTTAAATTTTAACAACTTAAAATACAAACAAATACACTGACAAAAAAAACCCCAACCTCCAAAAAAGGTATACAAACAACTTTCTGTCCACGTCCTTCCCTTTTGTTTGAATTTCCATTCAACTCCTTTAAATGTATTGTATTAAATATTCCCCCGTGCAATAAAAAACTAAATATTTTTAGACCCGTCGCCCGGGCAACTGAAATTCCACCTCGTCTCTTGTCTGCTTCTGAAAGGTCATTGGTTTGCAGCTATGAAAAGCAGCCCCCCAGTAAATAGGAAACAAGATCTGTTATGTCAGAATGGATGGAGATAGATTTCATTTGTTATGGGCCTGTAAATCAATAAGTAGTTACTTAAATGAATTTGATAAATTTAGAGCCTACTGAACGCTCTGTCAACAGGGATGTTTTTCTCTCGACCTCTCATTTACAGTGGATTTTCATGTTTTCAAATTTTCAAACTATTTGTTCAGGTCTTTTTTGGGGAAGGAGGAAAAAACAAAAACCTCTCTCTTAACACTCCCCCCATAAAATATATATTTTTAATTCATGACATTTCCCCCAAATATGTCACAGTTTTGCAAACACCTTTGCTGTAATTCCTGTAATGTTTTTTACAAGTTTATTGAAAATCAAGTTCTGAAATATGGTTTTCCTCAAAATCGATTCATAAAACCAACCTAAAAGAACTGCACCTGTATTTTGTTTTGAGATACACAGAAGTACTGCATGTTCTTTGCTCTTATCATTTGGAAATGTAAACTGATATTTTCAGAGGTTTTGAGACTAAAATTGCACAGGATACTTCTAGGTCAAGGAAAATCAATGATAGAACGAGAGATCTATGTCTGTTTGCAACAGAACATAGGGCTTTTCCGCATTATTTCCAGGTCAAGGAAAATCAATGATCTAGAATAAATTGTACTGTAGCATTTGGCATATTTTGTACGTTCTTCACAGAAAAAATATCATACATACTTCACAGAAGAATTATTGAGTGACGGATCTGTACACTTAAAAAATAATGATATGGTTTTATCAGATCCATTGAGTGATTTTATTGGGTTTAATCAATTTGATATTACAACTCATATCATACTGCTCACTTGATACCGTACATGTGCTTTTCATTTCGAATCGTAATGCTGTCACAGTGAAGTGGGATGTAGTTTGTACGACCTGTCATTTCGTTTCTCATCAAGATGGATGGATGTAGCAAAATCGACCACAGGCTAAAACACCTACACATACACATGTACTTGTACCAGGTATATGTACAGTTACAATGGCTACCGTACATGTAGCTTATTGAACTCCGAACTCTGTGAACTCTGCGAGTTACATGTAAAAGCCAGAAAGGAGGGGGAGGTGTGTCAACAACATGAAGTAAGAGACGGCAAAATCATCAACGTGTAATAACAAAGAAATTTAAGAAATGCACTTGGTAACGTGGAATTCTTTTTATTCAAGTAGGCATATATGTACATTGTTCAGTACTTGGGTCTTCAAATCTGAAGTTTGTTTCATGTGAAGACAACTCTCTTGTTGTCAAGGTCAAGCAATAGTTGCTACTCATTTAAAGAAGGAGAATCAAAAGAAACGCCCTACAATTTATTGTTGCTCTTTGTTCACAAACATTTGACAGCTGGGTTGGGACTCTCATTTTTTTTTTTTATCCTAGAACCCTCCTAGGGCTGTACATTTTCGAATCATTTAGTATTTAATTATTCGAAAGTGCTTTTCACCAAATATTAAAATATTCAGAACTCTCCTATCAACTTTTACGAGCGCCAGCTGCAATTGTACCATGATGTGCCAGTCAAAAGTTGCAGGCAAAGCTCATGGTTAAAATTGTTCGTGCGGCAATCGATATTATGGACTGCTGGAGTACTTTAAGTACCTGCTAAAAGGAAGGGAACAATGAACCACCATCGACTAAAAACTTACCGTAAACAACCAAAGTTGCATCTGACAAAAAATTGCTGCAACTTTATGATTAAAATATAAACATCACAGTCGTGGGTGCACTTGCATATTTTTTTTTCTTCGAATATTCAAATCGGCAAAAAGGTATTGGAATATTTAATTGATGATCGAATATTCTCTTTAATAATACCTGTGTAGTTTTTTGCAGCTTACATGTTTGGTGGATATTTGTTTCACATTTGGATTGTAATAATTTTTGTCTGATTAGCCTTCATTCAGTGTCTGTCATGCATACCTATTCACAACACTCAACTCTCAAAACCAAACTCCACACTAACAATTTACAGATAATACAGGTACAGTTATCTGGAATGTGTGTCGTTCTATAATTTTAAAAATTCCAAAGTGTGACATTTTTCCTGTCCCTGTTACCTGGGTACTTTGTAATTCTGCCATTCAAGTTTCATTAACCCTAACTCCCTAGCATGATTTACTAGTAACCATACCCATCCTGGCAAATTACAACACCATATGGGAAACTGCACACACTTATTTCTGACTTTGATTCTGGAGGTGTGCCAACCCAATGTAAAAGACTGTCAGTTTAGGGGTACTGTACCCATCCTGACAGATTCCAACAAAACATGCTGTTGGGGTTTGATGGGTTCAGTTCTGTTAAGGTTAAGAATGACTTCAAATGATTTTGTTTTTAGGGTAGGTACCGGTAGTTTGCTATGGTATTCATAATCACTCTACATGTAACAGGGACAGGAAGAAAGTGGACCCCAAAATTCTAGAATGATCCGTAATTACACCTATCATTATTTATCAGCTTTTTCTGTTTCGAATACGCTCCAAATTGTTGAAAACCGCAATGCCTTTTATACATCATTGAGTAGGACCACTTTCCCAGGATAACCGCTCACACTGTACCTGGTAACGCACTTGATCTTTCTGACACGAATAACTCCACTGCCGACCCACAAACAGATCATAAACAATACTAACAGATCACAGTTTGGATTGAAACTAGCAGCTGGAATCGTTATCACTATAGCAACCCAGATGTTAAATATTAAAAACTGAGCAGTTACTCCCTGGGACATATTTATGTACATGCATGACTTAAATCAGCATTTAGGGGAATGTAACACTTGCCTTTCTTGGATATGGAAGAAAATTTCATGATCACTAAAACCTGAAAGTTGACCCAGTATGTTGTTTCAGTTCTCAAATTTAAAGGGGAAAATTGATTTTTTTTTAAAGAGCTTTTCTGAATCCTCTTCTGTACAGGAAACCATTTTTTTTTAAAAAATCAAGCCCCATATGTATCTGCCCTTTTGTGCAGAACTACATGCACCTTTTCACTGGTTGAAAGAGAGAGGCTGGTGGGGGAGCCGTTAAAATCGTTTTCAATTTGGCGCCGTCTTGCTTTGCGACCGTACTGGTACCGCGATCCACACACTGTTCATGCAATGCGTGTGTGGGCGTGTTCATCTATTCAAACCGTGGATGAAAAATTCCAGAGAACGAAAGAGAGCAATACGATTCCCAGCATACGTCCGTGATTGGGTCGAGTAAAAACCTATGGGAGTCTTCCTAAAAAGTTAGTACAAACAAAAGAGGGACAATAGGACGTCCACGATCGACGGTGTGAACACGTTTGGGTGAACCAGCGAAGTGCATGTCCCACCAAAGAAGGCACCGTTGCTAGACCAATTGTGCCCTCTCTTGGTCATGCACCGAGCTCATAAAGTAAACAGAAGCTAGGTTGTACCTTCCTCAATCCTACTAAATCCTCCGACACCTCCTGGTAGATTTTGTAGGATCTGGTACGGTTAGTGTTTAACAGCATGATATTATGCATCCATTCTGAAAGTTTGCAAAACCCGTTGCACCTTCATGTGAGTGCAAGGCAAACAATGAAAACGCAACTTCACTAGTTTGCCTACAACCGTAACCCTTTTTAAACAGATTTGCTGACTATTAAAGCTGGTCCGCTAAAACACGGTCCCCTGAGCTTCATTAGTCTAATGTAGGCCACATGAAATCTGCACTTCTGCAGTAAGCGTGAACTAGAAATCTGTCAACTTTTTTACTGGTTACAGAATCCTGTGGAAGTTACCGAGCACATAACATGAAAAATGCTGGCTCAGTCGATTGTGGTGTGTTATTAAAATGCATATTGACTGGCACTGTCCAGTCACTAGTATCTGGTCTATACCACCCTCAGGCATGTGAGGGAAAACAAGAGGGCATATTTCCATTCAGCATGTAGTGATCTCAAAGTTCCTCAAGGTGTATATGCATGCACTAGTGACCTCATTGTCAGTCAATATGTGTACAATATACCATGTCACTGTTGATAAGGTACTAGTGCACAGAATCACTAGGGATACTTTGATAGAGTTTGAGATGGATACTCACGGATCTATTTTGAAGGTGCTGGAGTAGATGCCGGCTTTCCAGTAGGTCTTCTTAGGCAGCGGTCTCTTCTTGCCTTGCTGCCTTGAGGTACCTTTCCTTGCCACGACTGCTGTGGGTGACGTGGGCCCTCCTGAGGACACCTTGGATCTGCAGACCGCCACCAAGGGTTTGACCTTCTTAGCCTTGGTAGCAGAGGTGGGCTGTGGGCTGGCGGTCGTCTTGTCCGGAGACTTGTTGGTCAGGGTCGACGGAGGCGTGCAAGGGGTTGGGAAGGGAGCTGTACTCGTGGAGGGCAGGGATGGTAAACTGCGGACAATTTCAAGAAGAAAAGTGTCGTGCAAGTTGTAGATAACAAAACAGAATCTGCTATTATTTACTGTGGCTTTTTAGCACTTAATTCAACAAATTCAGTTTTTTAAGAATTGCAAAACTTAGTTTCCACAAGGTACATGAATTGTGTCCAAATTACGGCTGTCAGTAACACAGGTGTCTCTGGGATGTGGCTTTGGCTGCTTCCATAAGAGCATGTGCAATTGCCAGCCATAGCTAAGAGGTCTTAGTGCCAGTGAACATTTGATCGACAAATGGAAGCAAGCAAGGTGCATTTTACATGTGATTCGTAATCAAGCCAGAAATGTGATTTAAACAACAGGCTTGAAAGATCACATCTCAAGCCCAGAAAATGAGTCAAAGCCGGACACTAAATCACAATGTAAATTGTGGCAAACTGTGTGCTTTGAATGTAATTGGGGGGCAGAGGTGATATGATTTTAGACACCCTGACAAAGTCACATCTTTCTAATTTCGTTTTTTTTATTAAGCTGTTTCTTGGATTATAAGCTTTACATTGCTTGCATCCATTGATCCTCTTTAGACAGTGCCACTTCTGCAAAGTAACTTTTCCTTTTTGAGTAGGTCCTATAGTGATTCACAAATCTCAACAGCCATACGTGTTCACTGAACAGTTAAGTTAAATAGAACTCACCTGATGAGAGAATTATCTGTACACGTAACCAGTGGCTCCTTCATGAGTTTGCGCTTTTTGAGCGGCTTTGAGGATTCATCCACAGTAGCCGTGTCCACTGTTCTCTTCAGCACAATCTTTGGCACTTTGCTCATTTGCATTTTCTTCTTTTGGACCTTCAGGGTTTTTGTCTTGACTGTGCTTTTGGCCACTGTGAATGTCTCCAGTTCTGGTGACTTTGAGGTTAGGTCAATGGTTTCATCGGCACTATCCTTAGGTGAAGTATCCATAGGTAGTGATACCCCATCTTGAGGCTTCTCTGGGCCTGTTGGATCGGGGACCGGCCCACTGTTTTCTGGTGACCCAGATGAATCTGAACTGGGTCGACACGACTGTGCACTGTTGACTTGGTTAGCGACATCAAAAGTCTGTTGAGGTGCTCCTGTAGCATTCTCAGAGGCACTGGCTGTGACTGAATCATTACTGATCTCAACTTTACAGGTTTTCTTGATGGCAGCTGTTTCAACTGAAGCATCTGTGACGTCCTCTACTGTTACTTTGGTCTTGTAGCTTCTCTTCCTTCCGGGTGTTTTGGGTGTCTTAGGGTCACCACTCTGCTGTTTACTGGATTGCTTCTTACTGACCTTACATGTCAATTGATTATCCTGGGTGTTTGTACTATCACTTGTTGCTGATCCATGGGAAAGCGACTGATCCTTGACAACAGTAAGCACCTGTAATTCTCTCTGTGCTGGGCCACTGCAAGTTTTTAATCTGTCAAAGATGTTATCGGGCACTGCATCAGAAATCCCTGATGGTTCTGACTTGTAGGACTCCTTTCCTGTCCTACCAGGGGAGATACCAGAGGCTTTCAAGAGTTTCTGACCAACACCTTTTTTGCCTTTGATGGCCTTTGGTTCACCACGAACCTCTACAGGTGAACACTTCTTGATGCAAGCTTCAATAGAGTCTACCATATTGTCCAGGCTGGGTACTCTCACGGATTCCATATCATTTGCACAGGGTCCAAGACTTTTAGTTTTAGTTTCATGTATGTCTGTTTGAATACACACTACAGTAGAATCCAGGACAGAGACATCCACGTTACTCTTGTCTGTTTTGAGTTTCTTGGTCCTTTTCTTCCTCGGTGGTGACTTACTTTCCACTTTGGTTTTCTTTATAGTCTCTTCAGCTGATGGAGAGACCGGCACGGTTGAGCAATCTGACACAGTGCAAGATGTGGGTGTTTTGGAGATAGGACTTCTTTGTTCTGGTAAAATTTCAGATGGCTGGCAAGTACTTTTGTTTTCTTCTTTTTGTTCCAGAATGTTGTTGTTTTCCACGTCAGCAGCAATTATGCTCTCCGACGCTGTATCAGGCACTGCCTCAATTTTTTCTGTTTGTCCAGACCCATCATTTGGTTGGTCAACCAGTAGGTCAGCTCGTAACGCCTCCTCCTCAGCTTGCTTCTTCAACATTTCAAGCTTCTTTTTCATGTAAGCTTTTGATTTGTGCATGGTGAACCTGGCAACTCTTTTCTTTCTCCGCCTCTTGACAACTGGCTTTGACTTGGCGTCAACAGTTGGGGTTATATCTGATGCCAAAGGAGCTTCCGGTGTTAAAGAGGTGTCATTTTCTGTTGCTGACCCACAGGTCTCAATGGCGTTGCTGACAGTTTCAGTTACTACAGATGTCTCTTCAACTCTTGAATTTGATGAACAATCCCTCTGTCTGCTGACTTCATTTTGGACAACATCTTGGCTGCCAATGATGATGGTCGAGTCTTTTCTACCATCGTTAGTTTTAGCACCCTGGTTAGAAGAACCAGGTCCCACACAAGCCTTCTGTTGATCATTGCCACTGTGTTGTTGGTCTGTCACAGAAGATGATTGTTGCACCTCCAGATCGACAAGTTCAGTTTGTAAATCACGATCCTCTTTTGAAACACTATCAGAAGATGGCATAGTACCAAGAGATTTAATACCTTTAGTTCTCTTTGATTTAAGATTTTTTGATGACGCCTTCCCTGATGTCCTCCTGTTTGAAGACGGTTTAGTCCCTCCCACCACTTGAATCTGTTCCCTACATGTAGGTTCCATTTCTTCTCGTTCCCCATCCTTCTTGACTTCTTCCATTCTTTGTGTCCCAAAGACCAACCCAGGAAAGTCCACTTTCGTCCTGTCCGACAGTACATTACTAGCGGCACTGTCAATGGATTTATTCCCAGCATTTTTGGATGGTTTTGAATCCACTGGTAGGAAGTTACATGGCATCACTTCTCGACCTCCTGAGTTGCTGAAGTACTGCTCACTTATATCCTGTTTGTTTTCCTCCTCTTCGCCGAAAAACCCCTTTTTTCTCTTCTCTTCTTTCTCCTTCCTCTTTTTCTTGCCCGACTTGTGTTTGTTCGTTTTCGAGTGGGGACTACTGAGGACAGTAGCCAGGTAAGATGGTCTAAGGTAGCTGCTGTAGTTTGGATTCAATTTGGTGATGGCTGACAAGTGGTTCTTAGGCTCCAACTCCTTGTCAACAAAGGTAGGTGCAGCCTTTGTGACATCAAACACATCTTCGTGGAAATCAAGCTGGAGAGCCCGCAGCTCCAGGATGACAGCATCCAATTCAAACACAAAAGCGGGGCTCATTCTGCCTGGTTGCCGCATAAAGCGGTACTTCTTTCGTCTCTTCCTGTGTGGACCAAAATGCCAGTTCATTACCTTACGATGCTTGTCTTTCTTGCCGTAGCTGTAGAGACCATGTGCTGAGGTAGCCAGGGGGTGCGTTTCCAGAAGCTCACTTGACATGTCTGATTCAGTAACTGAGGGTACTGAGCGTCGCCTGTGCTTGTCCAATGCATGCTGGTCTGGATTACTATTATTATCTGTGCCAATGCCACTGTCACTGAACAATGTTTCCTCACTCATGCAAGTGGTAGCGCTCTGAGGTGAGGGAGTCTGCTCCTTATGTTGCTTCTCTTTGGATCCTTCTATTATCTCTGGTCGTATCGGATCAACATTCAGTGGCCTCTTTTTGGCAACATCGTGGAGAGTTTTCACAGGTTCGGCAAAAACATGTGGGATTTTGGTTGGTGTTCCTAAACATGAGGAACTGAGAGGTGACACCGGAGCAGACACTTCTTTGTTTGGGCTACTGGTCTTGCTGGATTTGGAACCGCCCATCTTTGGAGATCTTTGGAGTTGCTTGTCTCTGTGGAGCATGATGGTCTCCTCGTCATCATCATCTTCATTGCCATTTTCAAGCAGCCATTCAGTCATGAGTCTTGCCACACCTGAGCCAGATTTCTTGCCTTTCCCCTTACTTGGAGGACAAGGGGGTGAAGACAAGGGTGAAGCAATGGGCTCTTCATCTGGAATAAGGATATGCAGAGGAGACGTTCCAGCTAGCGGCAGTCTGGCAGGTGGTGGATGTGATCTGTCAGGAATGAATTCCTTGACCTTCTCTTTTGTTTTGTGCTTCTTGGGCTTTTTAACTTTCTTTTCTTTTTTACTCACTTTGCAAGTCTTTGATCGCTTGTTTAATTTAGTAGCCACCTGTAGCAATCCATCCGTGTGCACAATTGTAGAGCTCAGTACTTTGGATTTACAACCCTTCAACTTCCCTGACTTGGACTTCTTGGCAGACTTCTTTGACTTGGAGACTTTCTTGGGTGCTTTGGTGGCAATTTCTAGGACTGGTGGGATACTGTTTTCAGAGTGGGCATTCAATGGGAATTGTGAAGCGACTGGTAAGGGACTCACACACAGGTCCAACTTCTTCTTGGACTTTACCCTGGATGTCTTCTCTTTGACAGCCTTCTCCTTTGGAGGTGCTGAAGTTGATTTTATCTTTGGCTTTGATTTGGTGGGTCTGGGTGACAAACATGACTTAGTGGTTCCTGAGTTGCTCTTGGGAGACACAACAGCTGGGCAACTCAGCTTTGGATCAATGTCTTTATCTTTGCTTTTGATTTTGCTTTTGCTTTTCTTTGGTTTCTTGAGACCTGTATGATCATTTGCGACCACCACATTCACTTTGGACAGGTCTACTGAAATAGGCAGACTTTTGTTCTTTTTCTTACTGTTTTTCGTTTTTGCACTGGTTTCCAATGCATCTTGGGGCTGTTTAGTTTTTCTTGCTTTAGTTGGTTTCGTAACAGCTTCGTCACTCTTTGATTTTGACTTGATGGTTCTCCTAGGAATTCCTGACACAGCTTTCTCCTTTCCAGTTCCTGTTTTTGTCTGTTTTGTGCTGACTCGGGAAGGTTTGTTCCCAGATGTTTTTGCCGATCTGTCTGGGCTGATAAGGGGCATGTCTTTTACACAGGTGGATACTTTGGCTTTCTGGACCGACAACTTAGTTTTGTTTGGACTGCTGAGATTTGGTTCTTTGGCAGGTTTGTTGACACACACGGTATTCCTTTTGTCTATTTCATCCACAGGTTCGTCTGCAGTTCTAGATTTGGGAGACTTAGTACAAGTCTTTGTTGAGCTTGGGGATTTAGAACAACCGTTTGCTGAAATCGATGGGCTTGACTTGGATGGGGCAGTTTTAGTTGACTTTGCCTTCTTTGACTTTTGGCAAGCTTTTGTGGCTTTTGGTTGTGACTTTGGTGAGGTGGTTTGTTTACCTCTTGGGCTGTAACCTGAATGGACAGTGTACTGGGAATCAGATACAGCCACAGCCAATGAAGTGACTTTGCCATCTGCTTCCTGTTCATCACTGGTTAAGTTTGAAACGTCGGATTCCTTCTCCATGATAGCGTCAGCTCCAAAATTGTGAGAGTAGGAGTGGTATCCAAAATTCAATGTCTCACTGGGAGGATTTGTAGACTCTACTACCGTGTCTCGACCGTCTTCCATTTCCATGACTTCTATCACCATTCCAGTATCAATGGGCATTTGCATTCCCGTCGGAGGAACATGAATATCTGGCTGCTGGGGTAAATCAGTGGCTGGCAAGTCCATAGCCATTGTATTTTCTGAAGTTCTTTCAGCCATGAGTAAGGAGCCCTCACAATCCTGAGTTCTGTTTCCGTTACAGTTTTCCATGCCAGTTGAGTCCGACTTGGATGCGAAACGACACTGCAGTCTATCTTCGGGCTCCAGGTCCAATACAAAATTTGGCTCCGACACGAATGACGGTGTCAGCGAATCCACGTCAAGAGCCTGAGCTATTCCCTGAGCCACTCCTGCCGAGTCAGCAAATGCCTGAAGTAACTCCTCCTCCTCCTGTTTTTGTAGATACTCTGCAGCAGCTACATCGTTAGCTGACTGACTGCCAATACTCACACAAGAGTTGACGTAGCCATTACTGGATCCTTCCACCGTGTCATGTCCAATCGTGCTGATCTGGCCAAAATTCATTGACGTGCACAGGGAGCCTGCGCTACCGGCTTGGATAAATTCACTGGACTCGGCATCGGTCAGTGCCATGAGTGATTCCATGGCTGAATCTCTGTTCGCATTGGCCGACTGTTTGGTATTGATGAATGGTGTTGATGAGGAACTTGGTGACGTGGTCAGGGCTTCTCCGGACTGGCTCAACTTGTGTCCCGACTCAGTGCTGCATTTCTTAGTGTTATCCTGCAAGTTGCAAAGACAAAATCAGAAAAAAAATATGAATTTTACTGGACGAAGCTGTACGTGTCATAAATTCTTTCAAAACATCTTAACACAATATTTAATGTAGACTGACATTGTCAAGAACTGATTTGACAAATATGAGTCATATTTTTAAAAACACAATTTCAAACCAAACCTTTGTCCCAAGCAAAATATATACGTGTACATGCAGCAGGTACCTACGGTATATGAACAATGTAGCAACAAAACATCAAGTGATGTGCTGCAAAAATATGTACTTCATACATGTACATGTACCGGTACATGTGTGCACGTCTTAAAAAAAAAAACCTACGTAGGTACATTGTACATACATGTGTAACAATTTATACGCTACAGTAATGACCGGTTTTATTTCTCTCTACGGTACAAATTACAATCAGAAACAAAAAACTGTTCCCTGCAACATGCATGTACCGGTATGCACACATGGAAAGGAACATGTACATGAAACTGAATGTTTCTGTTCCGGTCATTTTCCTGATTTGGGCAATTCCATGCCAAAGTTGACATGACCCTCAAAATTTCAAATGGAACTTATTCAAATTGTTTCACTTTTGCAGGTGAGGGGGATACCTAAACCTTATGAATATGCACTAATATTGCCTAGATTTGTTCGTTTTCATTTTTTTTTCAACGTCTGAATATGTATCCATGGTAACTTGTTAAATTTCAAAAATTTGGGGAAAAAAATTGAAAAATTTTAACATTTAATAGCTTACCAAAGAGGATAACATTTTTGGAATTTATTATATTTGAAATAATCATCATGGAACCTTCTCCAAAAAATTAGGGGAAAAAATGTGATTTGTATTTGCATAAGTACACTATGAATAATCATATTTACGTGGTTTTTTTTCCACGGCAACCGTAACGTCCGTAACGTTTTGAACATTTTTTTCCTCTACAGTCGTATCCAGTGAAGTGATTTTTTACAAACCACAAATTTAAAGCTAGTTTCTGAAGGGTTACCTTGTGCAGTATGAAACTTGAAATTCCAATAATTAGATCTAGGCTAACGAGCGTTACGGACGTTACAAAATTTTGTTACGGATGTTACGTTACGGACGTTACACATTATACTTGCATATATACGTTACGGATGTTACACATTGTACTGCATACAAATGAACCTTTCATGCACCCTCCACTATGCACCTTATTGACATCTCTCTTTTAAAATATGAAATGACCCCATGTGCACATAATCTAGGTCATTTGTAAAAATGTTCTGCCTCCTGGCCTGAATGTTATAATTACATGTATAAGAGCCATATATCTCAGGCATGTACATGTACATACATGTACATACAGCTGAAGTTTGAAACTGACAAGCACACATGCAAAGTACATTGTAAGTGAATTTTGATTAATACTTTTTCAGAAGTTTTTATCTGGACTAAAGTGTCAGTGGGCTCCTTGCACCAGCACAAGAGGGCGCCCTTTTACCTAGCACCAACGTCCCATGGGCAGGACATTTAGCTGGTTGGCATGCACCGTTCCTTGTAGTTAGTGTGTGACGCACGTTACTGTACACAGGGGATTTGTACTACATACTCGCAGTGGTATGGTACAGCCGCGCATATCACGGCAAAATTGCAGTCAGGCAAGATGGCGTCGGTCGGTCACCCCCAACTGTACTCTCTTTGCCGGTGAGGGGGTATTTGTGAACGGAGTGGATAGCTGAGCCATTTCACTAAATTTTATAACTTATGATACAAACAACAGTTACTGTATTTTTCAGTACGGTAGAGCAAATTTGGAAGATTTCCACAATGTTTCTAAATGTGTTTGTTCACAATTCTTTATGGAAGCATAATTTGGCTGAACCTCCAGATTGCAGTAGGCAGTACATTCAACTCCGGCTAAACCCACATCGTACAACTCGTCAAATCGCTCAAGTCGGCCGTCTGACTAAAGTCCCGATTGTCCGTAATGCATTTCCATTGAATTTTTTATTTCTAAGTTAAAAACATTAGCAACTGATCTTTTATTGAAATAAATTCACACATTTCTCCTACAACAATGCAAATTGTAAAATGTATTGAAATGTTTTCAAATTGGCACATGAACTGATTTAATACCGGTATGTACATTTGTACATGTACATGTACCGGTAGGTATACCCTAACATTTAAATGACGGTGACCTGAATTGTTTCAGATGGAGGACACTCTTATTACTGCATTGCAAATACTATAGGATACATGGTCGATGTTAATTTGAAATGTGCTACTCTCTGAAGAAAGATTATCATTAATCACTGACATTAACAGGTACATGTATTTCAACAGGAAGTTTTATACCAAAACAATGATAAAAAGTGACATTTTGACGTAATTCCTCACCACCATCACCATCGTCATCACCATCATCACCATCATTTTCTTACAAGAAGGTTTCAAGTCACATGTGGTGCTGGTGGTACACCATAAAAAGGATGAAAAAAGATATTTACAGCTGAAAAAAACATGACTGGTAATCTTGGAGCATCACGATTTCACACGCGTAACGTCCGTAACACTACAATGTAACGTCCGTAACGACAAACACTTGGGTTTTTCTCCAACATCACAGTGGATTTTTCTAAGTGGTCATCCATGTTTGTAAAGAGTAAAGTGACAACTGCTAGTGCATAGTTATTTCAAAAAGCTTTGGCAAGAAACTTCACAGAGTTTCACCAATACACTCCAAATGTTGAAAAGCCTTGTCAAAACACGTAACGTCCGTAACGCTCATTAGCAACAATTATGTCTAATTAATTAATTAGGTTACCTCTTAGTTTACTATACCATGTTATACATTTGGGCCTAAGTCTGAAATGTGCTCAGTGAATAAAATTTGCTTTGACCCCAAATATGTTATTTTGGTTTGTCAAAGTTTCTAGTCGCCTCTGAATGTAACGTCCGTAACGGTGGAATTGCCCATGTGTATCTTTCATACAATCTTTAAATTCAGAACGTACCGTACTGTACATGTACAATGTTCTTGTACTATTAGTAACTGAACATTTGCATGCTTCATTACTGTGTAATACATGTAGATCTGTACACTCAAAAGAAAGAGCAATAGTTCACCAAATATGTTGTTTCACTGACAAAAATGACAAGGTTAAACAATGTTAACAAAACACACATACATGGACATTGGTACACTGCACAGATTGTTTGCACAAGACTGCAGCAATATTGTTCAAGTTTCAACAGGGATACACTTTTAGGTGCATTAATCATTCTCTGTGAATTAAGAAATACACCTCCAAGATGACTACTGAATGCAATCCGTCTATTACAGAGCACACACATGTATCCTGACCTCATAATTTGAGCCTAATATGGTTAAATACAGTCTCGGCATTTCTGAGCGAGCATTCCGTGGAGAGTTTTACGGCATCTTTCCAGCGTCATCAATAAGTAAATGAAACGCGTACATTATTGATGTGGACAGATCCAATGCATTTCCCCCAGGCAATCAGGATTGAGCCAGACAGTGCAGACAATAATACCCCAATACAGTACGCTCTAGCACTTGCGGAGTGTTATATTTAATCATCGGGGCTAGCTGCGGCTATTACACAGGGAATGGGGAGCTGGCCCAAATTAATCTTGTTTGGAACTGGCAGTTGTATTCAAATGTTCTAGACCATGAGCCATGACGTGCGCAATTTATTCATGTACATGTACACGCACACATGCACAATGTATACAGTGTACGGTATACGTGATCATGTGTACATGTACCGGTATGTAAGTATACCTACACAATTATGCACCAGTTTACCTGATATTGCTCACACTCAATGAATTTACATTCAAAACTTTCCATAATATCGGTATGTCAAAAATACTCAACCCAATTATGTTTTAACTGTGTACATGTACACATACTTGTACATGTATACCGGTGCATGAACACAATGTATACATACCGGTACAAGTACACAATATGTACATGTATGTATTTGTAACTTTTTATGTATGTTTGCTGGTAATGCATGCATAACATCACCAGTACAGGTACACGTTTATGAAGTACTGGTAGATCTATGCATCATCCATTTCATTGTTCAAAACTGCACCATAAATAAGAGACAGGCCAATAACAAATAATTGAAAACGTAATTATTTAACTGTTATTATAGCCTACAGACAGATTTTAGACTTCAAATCCATAAACTGCTTTAGGAATGACTCACTGCTCAAATGACATCAAGTGTCTCCTCGAAAAATACAATCCTACATGTATATCATGTACAGCAACTTTGACCGCATTTTCAATAACACCAAAGAAGTTGTGTATTAAACAGCTGCCGGTACAATGTATGCATACATACAGAAATTACATGTACATGTGTACATGTAAATTTACATGTGATACTGGTACAATGCATACATATATACATGTACCGTAAGCGTGTAACTTTCGCAGTACATATGTAAATGTGCAATGTACATGTACATGTACATGTAAATGTACACATGTACCGGTATACAAGGGTCTTCTTAGAAATTTATTAGACCTGCAGCATAATGGTTACATGGCAATGACAATGGCTAAATTCTGCTTTAACAACAAATTTACAGCAGTCCACTTTCATTTTTTTTTTTTATATTGTCTTACATGTAATTCTAGACAAAGAACCAGATCCGAAAGTCAAGGTTGCCAGTTCATGTACAGTACAGTATGTAAATCTACATTTACACTGTACACTGTAAACTACAGATGGTGGCACATATCAATATCCTTGTACAGCAGACATGGCAGACCTGTTCAAGCCTGACCGGTTAGGCAACAGCCCACCGCTCGGTTTCAGTCTCGGCGAGTGTTTTTGATTGATGACTAACGAGGGTAAATTCAACGCCAAGTTTGTTCACACCTCGCGGGTTGCAGGCTGCCAGGGTATAAAATGTTAAAGCTACTGTAATTACCAGAGAGCGATATTGGTGCCACACTTGATTGAG